GGAAAATGAAAACAAAAACAAAATTAAATTTTGCCACAACATAAGTCTTGTAAGTCTAAGTAAAAATATAAAAAGACGCTAGAGTAAAAATTGGGGCTGTTTGTTGTAACTGAATTGTAAACTCTCAAAGATATTCATTAAGTTATATTATTAATGAATTATTAACCTATATGTACATTGTCAGTAATCAAAGAGGACTACAGTAATTACTACTTGTCTATTTTGATCACACTTTTGCAGAACTGCTTGTTCCATGAAAACATATTTGATAATTCTCTTTTCGTAGTCTTTTAGTTTTTATCATTTGTTTTTCATCAATTGTAATTTCTTGCACGTTCTTACCAAAACAATGTCTTTTCAATTTGAGATACTCTATTTCTCATTTAATTACAAGCATTTTATTAAAAACTCTTACACAATACTGACTGTTCATCAAGGTTATTGAAGTTGGTTGAATTAATTTCACCAGTAGGAATGACTAAGGCTCATTTGATAATTCTAACCATGGTTGAATTAAATAACACATTTGTCAGCATTCAATCTTGTTGCCACTTTTTTTTTTTTTTTTTATATAATCCAGTTTTGTGTTGGTATACCACTCATCTTAAAATCTTTTGTTATGCTAATGATTCACAAAAAGTGCTCCATCTCTCCAATTTTGAACATTACCCTATAAATCAACTGTTGCTCTAATGCAGAGACAACCATGTAACGGATTACAAAGTTCTTCTCAGACTTTCTCTATTCTTTTTTAAATATCTGCTCTCTACTTATTTGAATAGCTTCATTGTCTTGATAATCTTTTTTTTAGTCTCTTCCCTTTTTCTTCTTATACTTTTTTTCACAGGTTTTCTATTTATCTTTTCTTTGTATACCTCCCTAGATTCTTGAATTATCAGGAACTTTCAGGGATAGAGTCAAATAATTGACTTCATTCATGCTTATGTAAGTGTCATTGTAGAATGGCACTTTGCTGATGTTAAAATCTGATTTATCTTCTCAATCACTAATATACTAATGACACTCTTAAAGTCTCGTTGTGTGTTAAACTACCTGAACTTCTGTGTAGTGTGCTTCAGGTTTCTGTAACTTATAACACAGATATAATTATATAAGTTGGCTTGGGGGCATTTGTTGCTCTGAACTCCTTTCCCCCATCCCACGTGCCCTTTATTTGGACTTAATTGGTTTTTGGTTTGTCATTGTTGTTCTTTAGGCAGTTAACTGCCTCATGTGTGAAAGAGATTTCACTCTGAATATTTTTTATTTTGGTGATATACATGTGTTCCAGATTCCAGGAAGATTGAGATTTCATTAATTTTTTTCAATTGATGCCTATTCTATTGCATGTATTTTCAAAATTTAGAGATGTGACCGTTTCATTTCAGATCTTAAAGTCCTTTAAACTGATTTGAAACTTTCTGGTCTAAGACACAATCTATTGTTTTCATCTTCATTTTTTCAATACAACTTTTTGATAGTTTTCTTTGATCATGAAACAGTATATTTCCTTTTTGCTCAGCGCCAAAAGGGCTATGATGCACTGTGTGCTACCAGCATAATATAATGATAACTATTTTAACTAAGATATTCCTCTAAGAAATTGGTATACTGATTAGTTCTTAAATCTATACACGATATGAGGGACGAATCACTGTGATGTTTTTGTACATAGCTTCAGCGGTAAGAATGTACAGTAAAAAAATTAATTAATATCATAAAAACTAGTACAACATAATGCATGGCAACTTTATGTAACATGCCATAATGAAATATCATGGATGTATGCTAAAGTAAAATTCAAAGATGTGAAAAGGTGAAAAGGAAAAGAAAATACTTTTATAATAAAGCAGAACGACGAAGAAAGAGACAAGAACTAATGATGATGAAAGAAGGGAAGAGTGAGCAATGGAAAATTGGAAAGAGGAAGTGATAAATTAATTTCTGTAGGTGTAGGGTTGTGCATACAAATTAGGGTGATGGGATAGGAGGTATAATGACATGAGGGAGGGTGGGACTAACACAAATGGGTATCTAGGGACCAATGCTCAACACTAGATCTATTACATCCACCCAAAGGCAGAGTCTCAATTATTCCTCCTCTATATTCATCTCTCTTGTTCTCTCTCTCTTTCTCTCTCTCTCTCTCTCTTTTCCCACTCCTCTCTCTCTCTCTCTCTCTGTCTCTCTCTCTCTCTCTCCTTCTCCTCTCTCTCTCTCTCTCTCTCTCTCTCTCTCTCTCTTCCTTCTCTTCTTATTCAATTGGTAAATTTTCTGTCTTTTATATCTTAGTTATGACAACTACCATCTAATCTTATTTAATCTTACTCATCAATAATATACTTGCTATTTTTTATTCTTCCTTACTCTCTCCATTATCTCTCCCTTTCTCTCTCTCTCTCTCTCTCTCTCTCTCTCGCTCTTGATTCGTTCATATTTCTCTCCATACCCTATCTACATATTTATGTCCCTTCCTCTCCTCCCCTCTCTCAGTCTCTTTCCTTCCTCCCATGTAATTCTCTTTCTTCTCTTTTGCTTTTTCTCTATTCTCTTTCTCTGTGTTTTGTCTGTCCATTTGTCCTTCTCCCTCCTCTATTTCTCTTTTCTCTTTCTCCCTGTTCTATTTCTCTTTTTGTCCTTTTCATTGTCTGTATATCCCTCTCTTTCTCGCCTTATCCCTCCTCTCTGTCTCTCCTTTTCCCTCCTCTCCTTCTCTCTTCTGCCCAACGTCTAGATAGAGCATAGGTTATTGGGGTGTGACTTATGAGGCACAGAGGTATGAATAAATGGGCTCAGGATAGTGAGATGGGTAAATTGAGAGGATGAGTGAGATAACAAGAAGTTAGAATATGTAATAATCCTTCCGTGGTTCATTTATCACAACCGCATAAGATACTTGTAGATGAATTATGATGGGATAAACAATCCTAAGGAATTGCAATTTATGAGGAATGTATCGCAGTGGAGTTAACTTGTTCAAATTTAAAAGAAATACTCAGGTTTTTTTTTTTGTAGGGCTGCAGATGTAAATTTACCTTTATCACTTTTGTACTTTTTTATTTAAACAAAATCTACCTGTAAAAACGTGAGACTTAAGTTGGAAGGTATGTAGACCCATCAGGTAGATGTGACCTTCGTCAAGATTTTATACCTAGAGGATGGGCTTTCATACATTTTTATATCTTTTTTTCCAAAAAGTTCTTGCAATAATAATGCATCTTATTTACAAAGTGATAAATAGAGAAATTGAAAATGTATAATGTGTTATCTTTATCAGATGTGAAAGTCTTCATTGAAAGAAATGGGGATTGTGAAATTAATTTTAATTTTTGAAGAACAAAAATGTGCACAACTGGTTAAGATAGTCACCCAAATATCTGTCTTAAAATAATGAGAAAAGTATCAATTGGGCAAAAAGTATTTCCATTTTTGGTTTAACTTGATAAAATTTGTGGACTAAAAAAGAAGATTATTATTATTATTATAACCATTAATGAAGAAAAAAAAGATCTTTGAAGGAAATGGTAAATTCATTGGTATTATATCAATGATGACTGGGAAATACAATTATAATTCTGTGGGCTGTTTTCTGTACAGTGTGGTGATGTAGGCACTGCATATATGGCAGCTCTTGAAAAAAAGAGAACATTTTTTTTTCTCTCTCTCTCTTCCATGTAAATGATCAAAGAGTGGAGAGCATGTTATTCTTATGTAAACAAAGGGACTTGGCTGTAATAAGAGATCATGGTCTCATACATAGATAATAAGATGTTTGAGAGGAGAAATGTTTAGGGTGTTAATTGGATTACTCAGGTAGAAGAAGAGGTAATGATAGATGGGATCGAGGGAGTTTGGACATGATCTAGAGGGGAATCACAAATCTATTTGGTCTAGGTACTTTGTTCAGATCTTAACCCTCTCTCTCTCACAACTCCTCCAGACCAAGTGCTTCTTCAAGCCTCACTCACATGGTTAACTAGCACAAACAAATCATCCCAACATTATAATATGACATTAAAAAAATGTCTGTATTTTATCACTCACAGATGAATAAGGGGATTTGTTGCATATATTTTCTCTTTTCAACCCTATATGCCATACATGAACACATTTATGTTTTGTTGCAGTGTTTTTGTAGGTTATAGTATCAGATGTAAACGAGACCAAGGGATAAAGAGTTGTAGATTGGATTATTTGGGAAGAGAAGGGTTAAGAGTAGTGTCAGTCCATGAAGTGAATCCATGAAGCAAGTCCAATGAGATAAAAGTGCTCATCACCTTATTTCATCGCTCAATTTAAATGTTTTGATGTCGGATTGAAACTCTGTTTGGATTGGTGATTGTAGATGAAGGAATTAATGGGGAAGAAATGGAAGGCAGTGCCAATAACAAAACACAATCAATATTTCATATTTTCTCCATAGATCAATATAATGTTTGATGAAGAATTATCACACACTCCAATTCATATTGTACGTTGATAAGAAAGCCTCAATATCTTGTGGATAATTTCATCAGTAAATGTACTGAAGTAGAGAGGTCACATTTCAACTGTAACTAACTTCAACTACTGCAACTAAAGTGATTATAAAGTAATCGAGTCATTTGAGTTGTTTTGTTACTTGTAATCTTCTGACAAGAGCTGTAAAATTTCCACCAATTTGTTTCTTTTCTAAACGATTTTGTATAAGAATGTGTAATTGAAAAGAAAAAAAAAAGTGTACAAAAATATTGATATGATTCTCTTTAAGCCAGAAAACTTATAACTAATGGGAAATCCCTTGACATTTATCTTTGTGATACATGAATGGTTTTAATATGATCAATGTTGTGTAATTTAACCAATTTACCTACTTTCATGGTAATATTTTTTTCATTTTCAACTTGTTTTCTGGTCAAGAGTGTGAGTGTATCATGTTTCCAATCTTAATGCAATCCATATATAGCAATGCATTTTTAAGAAAAATTGTGATGATCAAATATTTTTATATATTTTAACAGATGATGTGACACTGAACATGACAGCATCCTCGGACAGAATAGAGAGATCCTTCTTGATTAGAATGAAATCAACCCTTACAAAACGAGGTGTCCACTTCAAATCTTCAGGTTATAAGGTAACCCCTAACAACATATAATTTAAAAGAAAATAAATTATCTAACTAAAATGTGATACACTAGACGTTATATCGTTAAACATTGTGAATTAAGTTTGTGAATTAAAATTGTGAATTATTCTACTATCTTATCTTGTACGATTTATGACATATATTCTAATATATTTTGTTTATAAATCTGATCAACATCATTAACATCATTTTTAGCTTTTAATTTACTATCCCTAATGGGGCTTTCACATATACACTCCGGGGCCCGTACGGCGAGTAAAAACAGACATTTTGGGAATTTTCGGCCGGTGTCCGGCCGGCTACCGTAAAGATCCTACGGGCGCCGGGACAGTTTTTGAAGCCGTACGGGCGCCGTGGTGCTGAGTCGGCTGCTCCCAATTCTCCCGGCGTTTTTATCCGACCTTTAGGTCGTAGAGAGCCCGTGAAGGGCCGCAGGGCACCTTACGGGTCCCGGCGGGCTCCGGACGGTGTCCGGACGGGCCCCTCACGATTTTTGGGGGTCAATTCTCATGAAAAATCTTAACGGGAACCTTGAGGTGCGGATTTCAGAGGACACATAGTTCAGTGCACCGGGCGCCTTAAGGACCCCGGCCGGTTCCCGGCAGGGCACCTTGAGGACCCCAGCCGGGTCCCGGCAGGGCACCTTCCGGGAGCCACGGGTGCACCTGCTCATCGGACGGAGCACGTAAGCTTACCGGCCGGCATCCTTACGGGCGCCTTGCATTTCACTCGACCAATTTTCACCGGGCACCTCCCGGGCGCCGCAGAATATGTGACCACACATGCCGTAGAAAAGAAAATCGGAAGATTCCCGTAAGGTCTCTAAATCCACGGCATGCCGCCGGGTAGGGAAAATCGTACGGGGCCCGGTTTATATGTGACCTAGGCATAAGCAATGCAGGACATTCTGTTCCCTCATTCAATTTAAGTTACTTTATGTAATGTCTGCAAATGTCTCAGTAATTGGTAGGAAGTAATTTTAGTACATTAAACACAATATCTTTTGTTCATCATCATATTTGATATTTTTAATTCATTTAATTTCTCAAAGAGATTTTTATCATAAAGAAATGAATTTTGTGGAATCATCAACCAAGCAATGAAATGGTGTAGAGTAGAATAGTAGAACGGTTTTATTAAACAACTGCAAAATGGAAGCCCGAAAGCTAAATTACATTTGCAAGTTTTACAAGTATTAAAAAGCATTTCAACAAAACTTAGATATAGACAAGTACAAATAATACACAGTCGGATAGATCATAACGAATTACATATTCCCTACTTGCAAACAGATTGATGATACAAATAGAATAGATTCAGCATTATTATTATTTTTCTGTCTTCCTGTAGGTGATTCATGTAACAGGTGCACTCCGTCCTGAGCTCAGTCTCTCTCAATACAACCATCATCCTCCTAACGTTCTTGGGTTTGTTGCCGTTGGTTACTCCCTACCACCCCCAACCATCAGTGAAGTACGGCTAGATCCTACCATGTTCATGTGCAAGGTGGACCTTGATTTTACCATCACATTCTGCGAGGCAAAGTGAGTTATTCTTTCTTTCTTTTCTCTTTCATTTCATCTGAATGTTAATTTATAAAGTTTATACCCAATCCATTCAATCATGTATGTGTTTTTTAATCTTCTCGTGGATGAGGCAAAGTGGGTTCCTTTCTCTTTGATCCTTCCCCAAATTTGCAGTGGCCTTATCTGATTATTATTCCCAGTAATGAAAATGATGTTTCATTATTTATGTTTTATCCATCACGTTTCATACCAAGGTGCCATCAATCCATGTAATGATTTTGCATTTTTGAAACTCCTCTTTAACAAGGGGCGTCATGATGAATTGTAAAGTACGAGAACATTTATAGACCTTATTCACTTAAAACAATTTTATTTGAATAGCCCTTAATTTCAATCTCAAGAGCATAATTATGCTTATTAGAAGACAAAGTTTAATAGTGCATTTGTAAACCAAAGATATGATTGTCTAATTGTTTTCTTCTTTCTGTTTTGATATCAGGATCGGTGATTTTCTTGATCACTCGGCAGACAGTGTGATTGGTAAAAGTTTCTACAGTTATATTCATGCTCAGGACATTGCCAACGTGCGCACCAGCCATCAAGACTGTACGTATATATGATCATTTCTTTTGTTATTCATGAAAGAATGTAGTTAAATGGTCTTATTATAACATACCTATTTCATCATAAAAATAACTCTGTGAATATTAAGGAAATATTAGTGAGTTTTTCAAACGATTGATGGCTTTATTTATGTTTGCTGGGGTCAACCATCACATCTTTCCTGTTTTAGCACAAGTTAGATTCTGTGTTTTTAATTGAAGGAAATAATTCTCACATTTAGATCTATACATAGCAAACACACACGATAACACAAGTCAGAGGGATGTCAATACTAATCATATCCGTAATAGAATGGTGTAAATGAAATTAAAATGAACTCTGTCTACTCTGAATGAACTAAAAGTACCAGTCTTAATGTGTTCTATAATATCAGTGATGCCAGTCCCAATAGTTTGCTATAATATCTGTAATATGAGGCAAATAAATGATAACAATCTGATCACTATGCAACCTCGAATATGCTATATGCTTAAATTTGTTGAAAGTATAATTTAAAGGGCATGGTAATAACAAGAGAGATAACATTACCTACAATGCCTTCGATGACTGGGGGTGGTGTCTATGGAAAAGCATACAATACTTAACTGAAATCATTTTGGGTAAATGGCTTCCTTTTAGTCTTGATGCAGATGAACAAAATCAAAGTAGGCTTCTTCATTGATTTTGTATAAAGGATAACGATTCTGTGTTTGCAGTGCGTCATTCCATTTTTTCTTTTCCCTCTTTGTTAATATATGATAGGATTAGAAAGACAAATCATCCTCACTTTGGTGATATATTTACACATTAGATTCTCAGCACATTTAGGGAGGATGTCTTATGGGATTTCAGCTAGGGGATGGCAATTTCCTGCAGAAATTGATTTACAGGAACCGCGTAACTTTGAGTTCAAATTAAGATGTAGAGTATAAAGGAAGAAAACAGAGTGAGTAAGTTTAATGAAAGTTGAAAGAATGACATTGGGGGTCTTTAGCCTAGTAGATAAACCGATCTTAACATGGCAATGGGAATTCTTTTAACGCCATACCAGACCCACTATCATGGTCTTGATTAATGCATGGTGACAGTGATGAGATGAAGAATCTTCCGCTTCCAAACTGGAAGACCTGACACACACGCACACACACACATTCTTTAGATAATTCACATCCTTTGAGGGGAAAAGAATCCCCCTTTTTGTATCTCAGAAATAATTTTTTTCTTGAAATTGAAAACAAAAATTCAAGTATCTGTTTGGGGGGAAGGCTGGAAATGCCCAATAGTTATTATCAGTGAGTTGAATCTAAGACAATCCTGATGAGCTCATTGGGTAACCATGGCAATATGGTTACAGTTGACTTATTTTATCATAGTTTGAATAAACTTCAACCATAATGCCTCAGTCACACCTTTGCGTATTTGGCTTGCGTATTGCTGCGTATTCATGGAAAGCCGTTTTAATATTTATTCCTATTTATTGATATCAAGAATTACCATTACTTTACAACAGAAAATCATTTCTTGATATGGAGAAATAGGAATAAATGTTAAAACGGCTTGCCATAAATATGCAGCAATACGCAAGCCATATACGAGAAGGTGTGACTGAGGCATAATATATCTCTACAATCATTGTCATGCGCTTACATGCAGATTGATACTGTTTATGTGGTGGAAATGCGATCAAATTGGCTTTGTGATAAATTAGGAAACCTACATGTACCTGATTTTTCTTGAAATCACAGATGCCAACCATATTTCAATCTGTGTCCACATTTTATGAAAAGAGCTCACGAGGTTAAGATTAATTCATTTGTAATGACTATATGAATAAGAAATGACATTAAAGGACAAAATATTTTTGTTTCAACCAGAGATTATGAAATGTTTTAATTGGCAATCATTTTGTTATGAGCAATTATTGTAAATTAAAACATTATTGAATTCTTAGATAAGTTTATCATAAATAAATGATCAATATATCATTATCTTTTTCATTTATAACCCAGTACTGAACAAGGGTCAGACAATCACTAAATACTACCGTTGGATGTTGAAGGAAGGAGGTTATATTTGGGTTCAAACTACTGCAACTCTCTGCTACGCTAAGAACTCAAATGATAGCTCGTTCATCTTCATCAATCAAGTCATCAGGTAACTAACATCAATACTTTCTCTCCTAGACCACTTTCTCGACATTTCAACCAAGCAATTGGTCCTAAAGAAGAAATACAAGGGACATTATAGGGTTATAAGGACTATTTCATGGATTGGGGGTGGGGAGGGGGGGTGCACTGTGGGATATGGATCTACCATGTCAGGAGAGAATGCATGTATGTTGGGAGAACCTATGATCAAGCTCAGATTTATTTAAAATGTCATTAAAAATAAATGGGAAATAATAATAATAATAATAATAAAGTCATTTCTATAAAGCGCACAATAATAACTTCTCTATGCGCTTTACAACAATCAAGTATACATGAAAATAATTCAACAAAACTGACAATTTCATGATCAAATCCATTGCATTCTGCTCAAAAGTAGCATGTGACCTTTTATCTATAAAGGCTCAATCGTAGTCCGGATTGCCATGGCTAGTGGGTAGAGGCAGGGTGGGGGGGGGGGCAGGGTATGATAGTCACCCCTGGATGAGAGGAGAGGAAAGGAGAGAGGAAGCTGAATGTCAGGAATGTGTTCCTCAGAGACATTAATGACATGTTAGTCCAAAGCTCATTGTTAAATCACCCAAATCCACTATGGGTTTACATGCATGCATATATTAGCATCAGCAATAGAAAGCATACAATCATACTAACATGAATACCTCTAGGAGCAGATTATTATAAAGAATATAGGGAAAGTAAAATTGAACATAGTCGGGAAGAGAAACACTAGGAAAGACACTGATAGATAGGTAATTAGGAAAAGAGAAAGAGATATTCCCAAGAGATAGATTATAATCTTTTTCAGAAACAGAGCATTATAGTTAATGAATTTTCAATATTCATATAAACCATAACATATCTTGTGGAGTGTTTCATCATCAACTTAGACCGGAAATTATCATATAGATAATGTTTCTGATTTTCCTACTGTAGATTTTCCTTTATTGCAGATATAAAGGAGTTTTTGTGTTCAGTGAACTTCAAGATATTAAGATTCAGTAAATTGAAATTTGAACCAAGTTTGATATTCAAAGCAGAAAAATAAAAAGGATATATATATTTGTCATTTAGAATTCTTATACAGACTTAAAGGAGCATGATTAACTTTAAAGTACATCAGCTATTTTTTAAAAAGAAATACATGTATAGTCCTTGAGAATTGCTGAAACTGCTATAAAATGTGAAATAATGCTTTTTTCCATGTATATATTTTCAGTCATGTTGAACATGGTGAGGTTGCTATGGATATCAGTCAGATCCCATCCTTAGCTGTAGATGAACATATAGAACTCTTAGGAACATCACCCTCAAGAAATAAAACATCACCATGCCTTCACTCAGGTTTGAAAACTCTACCTCACTTATCTTATTGCCCCTTATCTTTATTTCTGTGCTGCTCTTTAATACTTTTCACTATATTTGCCTTCTCAAATTCTTCTTTATCTCCCCCCCCCCTCTCCATACCTCCTCCTTCTCATGCCCTCTCTCTCTCTATCTCTTTTTTTCCTCTCTCTCTCTCTCTCTCTCTCTCTCTCTCTCTCTCTCTCTCTCTCTCTCTCTGTATCTACATGTATGCCTACCTACCCAGCTATCTGATATGTCCCCCACTTTTTCTTATCCCCCTGAACACTATCTAAGGTATTTATTTCCTCTAATTATTGCTCTTCATCTCCTTCTCCCACCTATTTCTTCTTCTTCTTCTTCTAAATCTTTTTCTCCTTCTTCTTCTTCTTCTTCTTCTTCTTCTTCTTCTTCTTCTTCTTCTTCTTCTCCTTCTCCTCCTCCTCCTCCTCCTCCTCCTCCTCCTCCTCCTCCTCCTCCTCCTCCTCCTCCTCCTTCTCTGTCTCTCTCTCTGTCTCTCTCTCTCTCTCTCTCTGTCTCTCTTTAAAAAAAAAATCCTTCATTTCGTTTATCATTGTCAAATCAATGTATTTCTCCCTGCTCCTTTTCTTTTTCTCTTTTGATGTACATGCCTATACTCTGATTTTTCCAGTAAAGACAGTAAATTTAGTTATTTGAGCCATTAAATTATTTTCTATTTCTCAAACTTGTGTGTATGTATTTTTTGTTTTGTTGTAGGAGATGAAGCCGATGGGGTGTCCGACCAGCAGGTAGGAACAGGTGGGGATAGCAACAATAACAGCAAGGGACATCAAGGTCTGCTCGAGGGTAAAACAAGGAAGCGCCCTCAGAGTCCGGAGAGGAGAAAGAGTAAAAAGCATCGTGGTGCTCAGATCACAAGGAATGAACCTACTGGTAACCATGGAAACCTAGAACACAAATCCGAGATGAGTGGTAGAGAGAGCAAGAGGAAAGCCAACGCAAGACTTCTGGCGCAGAAGCCTAAACCCTGCCCAGATGTTATACCTAAGCAGGTTATCATAAGGGCCGATAGTCCGAATGAAAAGACTCTGACTGTTCTAGGAGAGAGAGGGGACTTCAGGGAGTCAGAGGATTATGCCAAGAGGAGTAAAGAGCGATTGCAACATCCAGAGGAAGTCATCAAAGAAGTGATTATAGAAGACAAAGGAATGCATCATTCACCAACGGCGATATCTCCCATCAATCACATGCAAGCTTCATCTTCCTTGTTAGCTCTGAGTGTCAGGAATGCGAGCAGACACGAAGAAGAAGATATTGTCAGAGTGCCATTAGGAAGCTGGGAGAACCCTCCTAATCGAGAACTACCCCCAGATCATAATGGAATGATCCCCTCACCAGACACTAACCACACCCGTCTCAGTCTGGCTCCAATGAATTCAGTGCCCAAGGGAGTCTTTACCACGCCCAGTCCCAAGACACCGGACTCTCTTCTTACCCCTCCTCTATCAGACTCCGCCAAGAATCAGTTTTCCCTCCCTCCTGTAAGCTCACTTACATCGCCCAAAGCAAGACCAACGCACACTGACAGTATTACCCCCATCTTCACCACCGAGAATTCAATCAGTCGGTATATATCAACATCGGGCAGCAAACACGAGACTGTCTATCCTATCCCATCACCCTTGACCCAGAACCCATCGGTAGAAAGCTTAGACTCCATGCGCAACATGGTCAAACAGGAACCTAGCTTCTACAATGCTCGCATGCTAGGTGTGCCATCTTCTTACACCAACATGGCTGCATACGCTAACTATGGACAGTACAATAACCTGCAGCATTACAACGCTACTGTCAACCTGACATCAAGGGCTTACCAAGCTGCAGCAGCTACCTACGATGCTTCTATGTATAAGAACTACCATACCACCCCTGATCTACCCATCGATCTATCGTATAACGGTGTGACAGGTATCCCTATCATGTCGCCGGCCAATGGACCATACTTCCCAACTGCTTCTAGACTACAATACAACATCACAGACGGACAGCTCAGCTTGAACTGTGACAAGACAGGACTCGACAAATCTAAGTCAACATCGGTTTAGCTAATGTAGAAAGAGATATATCCTGTGTATGAGTGTGTGTCCACGAGTTATTCAGACTTCAGCAGTATTACCCAGAGAATTTCATGAAAATCCTTAATTTTATGTCACAGAAAGAATCTGACATAAGACATAATCAACTGAACAATGGATACAAAAATCAGTCATTTGCCAAATTCTTATGTAAATATCAAGATTTAATCTTTTATTAAATGAAGTTTATCTATAAATCAGGAAGTTTTTGTTCAATGTGAACATTATATCACCTTTCCATATATTCAACATGTTTAGATAGGTACTTCTTGATGTTGAGGATAGCATATTAGCTACGTCTGTTGGTTGATTATAACCACACCTCATGAGCAAAGAACACCGAGTCCAGTTTATGATATAATTTGCATACTGGAAGGTTCCTGATGTCAATCGTGAATTTGATAGACAAATTGAAACAATCAAACAAACTTGAATGATATGCACTCATGGAAAGATGAATTGTTTTTAATTTGTTGTGGCAACATGAGAAAACGCTGTTTATCTATTCTTACCAGGTCTTATATGAATAATTACTAGTTGTTACCCAGCGTAACGTCTGCAATTTATGAAAATACTAAGAATCTAAGAAATACTGTCCACAGTTCTTTGATTGAAGCAAAGTTCTCATGAAAGCTTTCTGAAGAATCATTTTAAAAGGAAGTCTAGAAAAAGAAGAACCTTTATTGTTGATTGAACAAACCAAGTAATATGACTTGGTGAAGAAAAAAATGAAATTGGTTAAAATGTAATTGCAATCTGAAATCATAATTAACTTAATATTAAATTAATAAATTGTCAGAAGCTTATATTGACTGAAATAAATGGTATCCCATATGATGCATGGTGTAATGTGTGTATAGATGCTAGCTGCAAATATGACTTGGTCTTATATAGCCACGGTGTGGTATGAACCATAATTCACTGAGATAAATGAAACTATATTATATGAATGAAAAAAATTACTTATGTCTACAAACTGCCATTGGTTAGGAAATGAGTTTTTCCTCCATTTGTGTGAAGTTAAAGATCTTTGCCAAATTTGATATATTTGCCCCTTCCACATTGTAAAAGTATAACTTTTTGAGATAAAACAGTGTGCCAAATGAATGCAAGATTTGTTTATTGAATGCACAGTGAAAAGAATGTGAATAATGAATGAATAGCAGTATGGTTCAAGAGTGTAATAAAGTACTTAATAATCAGTTTATTATTGTTCTGTTTACTTTCCATTCTGTGTATAGATGCTTTTAACCCCCCAAATGCATGTATCTGTCATAGTTATCATTTAAATGCTGAAAATTCTTATTGTGAGGTGCATATCTTAATTTTTACTTGACCAAAGAATATTTGATGATGTTTTGTCTTTCCATGTTAGGTTTGTAAAGGGGGAAGAAGAGAAGATGCCCTGTATTGCTAGCAGATCTTGATGGTATAAAGTGTTGCTGTTTCATACTGCTTGTGCAATAAAGATTAATTGGCTGGTTGAAAAGTCCTTACAATAATGCTTATAATCTCCCCTTTTATATCCAGCATACATGTATAAGACTTTATGCATATAATGTATGATTTGAATGGCTTGCTGTCCCGCTAATTTTTGTTGGTGCAGAATACTGTCTTCTCTCAAAAAATGTAATTATGAGTTTTCACTGAATTAAAATTTAAGCGAAAGAACTGCTGTAATCAGTGATCTATTAAAATATTTTGTATTAGGATTCAGATACCGAGTCGGTAGATGTTCATCTACCGACATTCTCTGGAAATGACATTCTCTGAGTAATTATGTAATTCAGTGATTTCTGAAGGGCTGCATATCTGTAACATGTTATTTTGCATTTATCTATCTTCACTGTCTTTTGACAATTTAAGCATAATGATTGCCACCAGTCGATTGAGTGGAGTATATGAGTCATTGTTTAGATGCTTGAATGTGTAAATGAATAGAAACAGCACCCCTTGAAATCTGCAATGAAAAGGTGTGACCAAGTTTTATCACAATACACATTGAGAAGGGTTTTAATCCCAGTTCATTTTTCCCTCTACATCTTGATCAAAACGTTATTGTGTCAACTAAAAATGCTCGAGTCCAAATGACTGAATTTTCTCAGTCCAAAATTACAAGGTCCACTTTTAGAATTCAGGCAGTTGAAACCACCTATGGTAATATAAGTGTTAAAGAGATGTTTATATATATTATACTGTAACATTAACTTTTTATCTCATTTTTATCAAAATCTGCTTCGCAGGAAGGGGTAAAAGATTTTGTTTGTAAACATTTATTGTATTAAGCTTTTTTTTTTATTTGACTGGTGGTCTACCTGTCAAACAAATACCAGGACTATGTCTGAAATATTCCAAATTTATCTGAAATATGTAAGAATATGTAAAGAATTGAGTAAAGCACATCATTATTCTATTTTCTCTCTACATTTTACACTGCTATCTGCATGTTATGTGCTGCATATGATTATTCAACTTATTGATAAATGTCAATTACATATAATTCTCGACAAGGAAAAATCCTTTTTTGAAGTTTTCAAGTGGATTAGATATAAAGGGTTGAGGCCTTTATGATACCAATTAACTTGTATTTGAAATATGCATGTGTTAGTATAAGAACTAAGATCGTGATTTGCAGGTGTGGGGTATATGCTAAAAACCATAAAGTCACATGTCAGTATGAAATATATTAACAAGGAAATTCCTTGTGTTTTTAATATGATAACTATGCAATAATTTGTCCCTATTAGAAGCAAGAAGCCTTTAAATGGTTTTCTATCATTTTGAGTTACCAATACCTTATGCTTCTAAATGTTGGAATAATTGCAAAGTTAACCATTGTTTGACTATGTTTACAAAAGGCGCGATAGCTCAGTTGGTAAAGCAGTGGTCTCTTAATCCGGCGACCCGGGTTCAAAACCAAGTCGATGCACTAGTGCCCTTTGGTAAAGCATCAATCCTCATTGCCAGGTCCCTCAGAGAGGACCTAAAGCCGTCGGTCCTCTGGATGCTTACTAACAAGCATTTATGCTTTCTTAGCAGTCAGGTAAAATAACCACCACTAAACCACTAATCTAATCAGAGGTGACACACAAGCTCACCAGCCTTTAATCCGTGGTTCCAAATCACATGATTCTGTTCCAGTTGGCATAAATTTAATGTCTGTCTTTTTATCCTTCATTATCACAGACATTTTATTAACTCAAAAACAGAACTGATATGGAAAATCAATTGATAGGAACATTGTGAAGAATATTGCATCACCACCACAAGTAATGCTTTATGAGTACACACGTGTTAGTCACTGATGCAACACCATGTCTCAAATGATTTGGTCCCATTTAATAAGCTTTCATGAGCACATGAGAGCTTGGATGAAAATAATGTTGGGAAATTTGCCCTAAAAACCATCTTGATATCATCTGTATACCCTACATGTACTGATGTTGCAACAATGTCTGCTAAATCAGCAGTACAGCTAGCAAAATCATGGTACTTTGTTTATTGTTTTCTCAATTTTTCATATGCTTTGTTATAGGTCTAAAGAAAGCTTCATGTATGTGTTACTGTCTCATTAAATTAGATGATGATCTGTTTACTTCTAGGTCAGAAAATTAACCAAACATGTTAACCCAATGTCTACTGAATTCTTTTATACCCATAGGCTTAATACTGGGACGACCCGATACCTGTAGGCAATGGGTGAACTCTGTAAGACGGAGGATAATCTTCACAATATTCTGCAAGATGTTATTCCTTTGAATATTAAAATTACAAGATGCACATGAGACAAGCATGATGTATGATCTTACAGAAAGGGAAGGTAGCTTTTTATTGATAATCAATCCATTCTTATGCAATAATAGTTTATTTTGAGGCTTATGAAATACAATTTTATGCCTGTAAATACATGCATGTGTGTATTGCTATCATTTGTTTTGTTTTTATCTCATTTGTTTTGCAGCTGCCCATGACACCGTTATCAAAGTTTGTTATATTGCTTTATGATTTTACACCTTGTTCGAATTCATTCTCAATCTAATTGAGTTTTCTATGTAAATATTACTTATATAACCAACATGTCATGTAATGTCTTTGTTTTCAACTAGCTTTAAGCCTTAGTCATGCTGATCGTTGTTTAGCATCTTCAAAAGGTCTCATTATTTTTATTTTTTGCTCAAGCAAGACTTTATATGAAATGTACATATTTGTTAGGAAAATGACAAAGTTGAGAATGGAAGATACTCTGATTCACAAATACATTTATTGCAAGAACATGATGAATGAGTTTGTGAGCTGTGAGATTTATGTTTTTTGTTCAGTGTATTAAAGCCATGCTCCAAGAGCCTGTGTGTGTGGAGAGATACTGAACATTTAAAAGTGTTATGTAAAAAAATTGAATATTATTCAAGACTTTTGCTGGAGTTTCTTCCCAACAACATGATAGTAATCCCTCCCTGTAGTAAGACACTGTAGTTTTTAGAAAATGTTTCTTGTCGATCTTGTATTTTCCTTTCCTTAAGAAAACCCTCCTTTCATCTCAATTGATAATGTTGTTTATATAAAATTGTGCTGTATTCCAGTATTCTTGTACATGTATAATGTAGATGAAATTCTCTGTAATTCCTGGGTTTCTTTTAGAATAGAGGTGAAATATATGACTCTTGTCATTCAAATTGAACCATATCTTGACTCTTCTTCTTCATTACGGTGGTCTTTGTGAGTATACAGTATATTAGGTACCAAACAAGTTTTCAGATTTCATGAGCACTTTGTTAAAGGTAAAGACCGGTATTGGAAACGCCCCAATTTCAAAAAATGAAATGGAAGCTCTCATTACCAATCATGTGAAAGAATATGTTTTGACTAATACATGATGATAAAAAATTTGCCGGGAAACCGCCTACTAATTCATATATTTGGTAAATTTGTTTCTCTCATGGTCTGTGAGAGATATAGGGTAGTCCCATATACATCTTTCTGTGTATAGTGCTTGTAACTTTACGAAGAATGGGCCAAATTTCTTATCATTTTGATGATTCCAGAACCTTGCAGATGCTAGATGCTAGATGATCAACCTTTTCTGATCAATTCCACAACGTTTCTTTCACAATGCAATCGCATGACCATAACTGGTCTTTACCTTTAACTTTTCTCTTCCACTCTTCCCCATCTCTTCCATTCTATCTTTTCTCACTCTCTTTCTCCCATTCCCTCTATCTCTCTCTTTCTCCCATTCCCTCTATCTCTCTTTCTCCCATTCCCTCTATCTCTCTTTTTCTCCCATTCCCTCTATCTCTCTCTTTCTCTCTCTTTCTCCCATTCCCTCTATCTCTCTTTCTCCCATTCCCTCTATCTCTCTCTTTCTCTCTCTTTCTCCCCTTCCCTCTATCTCTCTCTTTCTCTCTCTTTCTCCCATTCCCTCTATCTCTCTCTTTCTCCCATTCCCTCTATCTCTCTCTTTCTCTCTCTTTCTCCCATTCCCTCTATCTCTCTCTTTCTCTCTCTTTCTCCCATTCCCTCTATCTCTCTCTTTCTCTCTCTTTCTCCCATTCCCTCTATCTCTCTCTTTCTCCCATTCCCTCTATCTCTCTCTTTCTCTCTCTTTCTCCCATTCCCTCTATCTCTCTCTTTCTCTCTCTTTCTCTCATTCCCTCTATCTCTCTCTTTCTCCCATTCCCTCTATCTCTCTCTTTCTCCCATTCCCTCTATCTCTCTCTTTCTCCCATTCCCTCTATCTCTCTCTTTCTCTCTCTTTCTCCCATTCCCTCTATCTCTCTCTTTCTCCCATTCCCTCTATCTCTCTCTTTCTCTCTCTTTCTCCCATTCCCTCTATCTCTCTCTTTCTCCCATTCCCTCTATCTCTCTCTTTCTCCCATTCCCTCTATCTCTCTCTTTCTCTCTCTTTCTCCCATTCCCTCTATCTCTCTCTTTCTCCCATTCCCTCTATCTCTCTCTCTCTTTCTCTCTCTTTCTCTCTCTTTCTCTCTTCTTCATATGTTGATTACATAATTAATTTGAGTTGAAACCGAATGATGATTTTTTTTGAGTAAGGTATCCATGTAAAGGAAGCAGTAAAAGTTGAAAAATGCTCTCAGTGAATTTTCTATACATGAAATCTGCAAATGGCACCATATCATTTTGAAATAGTAACATCGCAACTTTATTTGATAAGCACGAACATTAACGTTTATCGATTGAGTTTTCCTCAAATGAGCTTGATAATAGTTATTCTGTAAAATGTGCAGTAAACCTGAAACATAAAGATACCAAGTATACATTTTTCAACTAGAGGTGGCGCTATGAATAAGCCTACCCCTACCCCTCCCCTCTCTTTCTCTTTATGTAGGCCCACATCATTCACTTCCCCTTCTCTCTCTCTCTCTCTCTCTCTGTCCCTCCCTCCCTTCTCTTTACCTCTCTATCCCTTTATACACATCTCTCTATCTCTCCTTTTGTATACATCCCTCTCTTCCCCTCTCGTTTTCATCCTTCACTTTCATCTATTCTTGTCAATCTCCGAGTTTCTTTCATAATTTGTCTGTTCAGACCAAGAAGGGCATTAAATCTGTTACAATATATATATATATATATATGAATATAAGGTAATGCCTATCTGGCTCCAGACGGTGGTATCACCATTTTCATGCATCCATCATTACGTTCTCTCCATCTTCCATTTTCTAATAGATGTTACCCTCTCCAATCACACACAAATCTTTATTTGATTGCAATGAGCCGTCGCAGAGATGCAAGGGAATAACAGGAGAACATCTTAAATCTTGAGATTAGAAGAAAAGCCCAACTTTAATCTGGCTTTCAATCAACATCCAAATGAAACACATTGAATGAATATTATACACTTTGGAAGCGTGATTACTCAATTAAACACACATTTCACTTTTATATATTAATTTGTATATCTTACAAAGTTTCATACATGTAGAAATTATTCACTTTCAATTTCTTGATACACATTACAAAATTAACCTCCAGCTTACATTAACAAAATATCTTGATTTAATCAATCAATTATATATCACATTTATTCTAACATTTTACATTACAATACTATTTTCATTTGTTTGTCACTTATTTTATCTTATAACTTAAAAAAAAAATTAAAAAAAAAAAAAAAAAAATCATTTTTATGAGACCAGAAAAATAATTAGATTAATATTTGGTTTTCAATATGTTATCAGCTAAGCATAACACATATATTGTACATGATATTAATTCACATAACTGACTTCTCCCTATACAATCTAACATGTACATGACATAATGTACACAATTGAACTTGTAATACAAATCTTGTGGCTCTAGATATATCTTACCAATTAATCCATGTACAATCATATCATCGGTTAAGAATCAGAAGGGCTCATATCATTTTACAAATAGTTATTGCCCTTCTGACACCAAACAGATGATAGGGTTCTTGATAAATGACTTCATCCCTGAATTCTTAATCATGTATACAACACAAATTAATTGCCAGAAACATGCATTAATGTCAAACTAAATAGCCTTTTGAGTAAAAAACACATGCATAGCGGATGTGTTCATAAATAACCATAAAAACCTCTCAATAATGAACCAAGCAAGCAAGCGAGACCTTCATCCGGTTCTTGTGTCCCTCAAGAGACACTACATGGATAGACAGATGCAAAGTCAGGAGCACATAGTAAGTCACAAATTTTAAAAGGACTTTTAGAAGACATTGGAGGAATAGTGAGGCTCATCAAACAGTGTTTTAACTAAGGCCTAGGCTCAATCGGGCACTTATGTGAAGGATTTTTAATAAGAGCACAAATAGCTTAAAAATGCAATAAAATTCATTAAACAAAATACAGATATACATTTACATTTAGACACAACTAGTGTAGTAAAGGACATAAGTACATGAACATTTAATAGTTAAAAATTTGTTGCATTTCAGTTTATGAATCATTTCAGAGTTTGACTCTAATAAACAATTCATTTATACTTAAAGTTGATACTCTAAGACAATCCCAAATACTGAGATAATTACATAAATAGAAAGCTTTTAACCCCCATAATAACACCAAATGGTGTCCACCCGACAAAACAAGTTTAGAATAATGAATTTATTCGAGTAAACTCTACCAAAATATCTAAGTCTGAAACCCGGAAGTGCACGTAGAGTCGGGCCTCTATCCGTGACGTCACGAACGGGAGTCATGGGCTCAGTGAGAGTGAATGGCAGTGATATCCCTACGTAAATGCTATCCTGTCAGAGCTTAGATTTGTTGTTGTTAAGGAGTATATTTGATGGATTTTCTGTTTTCATTTGAATGAAGAATAACGAAGCAACATTTTCCAGTCGCTGATTTCTTTTTATATCCTCATATTCACCTATTTGGTAGAGATTTAAGACGAGTTTACTGCTTAGGAATTAAAGTTAAATCGTGCACTTATGAATAGGCGGATGCATTATATTGTCATCAGATGTACATGAGCAGTTTTGTAAAACTAATAGGTCTAGAACTATGATAGTATTTATCATAGATGTGTGTGACTGCCTCAAAAAAGGATACAGTACCAGTTAAACATTTTATGTTGTAAAATATCAAACTTGAACGAGATCATGCAAGCGCGCTTCTATAATATTTTGGCGAGTGATGCGGCTCTTGCATGAACGTTCGTGAAGCGAGCAGAATCGGGAGGTAAGACCAAGCCGCTGCTCTAGGCGCTGCTTGCTTGTGATGGAACGTACGTGCGCTAGTTATATGTTTATCGGCAATTGCAAGAGAATGAAAGCGACGTTGCCAGCTAAGAAAAACAACTAACAAAGACTTGCTCCTGACTACCGGTGTCAGAATTGGTAGATGATCGGATGTTCAGGGCCAAGGAAGGCGAAAGACATGGGAAAAAGGAAGAAGAAACCATCGGGAGATCGCTGTAGTGTATGGTAATGAACTGTGCATGGGTAGACAGCTACTGTTCACTCCGTGCCTGGGCCGATTTCAACACCAAAACAAAAATTACATGGTGAAAATATCGACTAATAGCACATCGTTGGTATGTATATGTCATAATTTTAAAAAGGGGGAATTGATATTAATACTATGAAGTACTAGGGGAAGGTAAAGAATTGTACATAGAATTATGATTTATTAGACTTTTCAGCCTTTGAAACAAAAATATGCAGAAAATCGTATCACTCTGCACATGTTTGCTATGGAACATCCGGGTACGTGAATATACTCTCTCCCGGACGTGAGGTCATAAATAGTAGACCAGCGCCGTGACTGATTTTCTATGCAAAGAGAGGCGGATATTTTAGACATTTCAATTGAGGATTTCGAGTAGACAAATTTTTTTTGTGATATACTAAGTAATTGAAAAACTTAAAAATAACATATACTTGCCGTAGGTAACAAATTAAGGGACATTTATTTGCTTAGAGTATCAACTTTAAAGTAGACTTGTGGCACAAACTTTCCTACTGCACAAAGTAGAGTTGATTTTGTTCTTAGCTTTATACAAAAAGCTTATTAGTAGAAACTAATTTCTTGTTTTCTAGAAAGTTCAAACAGACTTACCATACAAAATGAGTGTCAAGTTCTAACCTCTCCGTTTGCTACAAACTAATGTATTTATAAAGCATGATGAATGAATAAACAAAATGCATTAACATACCACATGAAGTCTTGAGTAACAAAAAAGCAACAAATCTTTCACTGACACCAATTTGTTTATGGTATATATTGTGACGTGATCGCAACTAATTTTGAAGAACCAAAGCAGGAGCAAAGTCACCACTCTATTCTACATCCTATAGAAATCATATTAAGACTTTCAACGTCATGATAATCTTTGCACATTTCAGTATTCAGCAACTATGTCACAAGCCACTGAACAAACTATTAATTTGAGATTCCCTTAGATGTGGAGATCTCATAATATTTCAAATATTCATAGCTTTCTTATTATTGGTCCAATTCATTTCAAACTTTCACCATTTCAAACAAATGAACTTATTACAAGGTTTAGATTACCCTTTAAGAAAATCTTTGATCTAGATTATATTACATGAAAATGTGTCTAGAATCTTTTCAAAGAAAAAGAGTATCTCCAACATTGTAGATTGAAATGTAGAAGTGAGAATAGCTAAGATCTAATTTCCTTTTCTTCTGACACAATCACTAAATATTTGTTCAGAATTTCCTACTAGGTTTTCATCTGAACACAAATACATACACATATAAAATAACAATAATAAATCAATCTAAGCTGACCTCACTGAGCAAGATGATATACAAACTTATTTCATATTGCACAATTGCAATACAAGTAAATAATATCTGGCACATGACAATGATCTTTGAAATTATTCAAAATATATTCAATGTAGCACTTACATTCTTTTTATGATACACAAACTAGCAGCAAATGTCAACAATTCAATATTTATATTCTTCTCTGAATATTTCATCATTGTTTGATCAACCGAAAGGACAATACATGTAGTGCTAGGATGGGTTGGTTTAGCTTTGTACCATAAGCTTTGTACCATATATGGTAAAATTCAAGTTTAGCTTTTATCCAGCACATATTATGATATCACCCCTTCCATGCCATGAGCAGCACATCCTACGATTCCTACCAAAGAATTTCGATGATGAACACTGTAAGGATGTTGTTTTCTGAACTGAGACTCACAGTGAAATGCAGTTGATGTATTGCAAAGTTTACATTCTTGAATGATATCTAATGCCAAACTAAGCTATAAAATAAATCACAGAATTCAAATGATGTCACTTGTAATGTCATATATGATATTCATTCATGATATTCATTCATAAGCTTAGATGGATAGAAAGGTATAGACTGTATAGCATCACATTACAAGTCCTATTTCAACAGATACTAAATGGGTAATTCATATTCCTGTCCTATATTCTTAATTAGATTGCAAGACAAAGTCATTTCAAGAGCATGTTTATGTATTCATTTCATTTTCCATATCTGTATTTTCTCTCTAGGAAAAAATGACCATGAGGCTTTGTCCAAATAAGTTCTATAAGATATGTAAGCATTGCTGTTTCCTGTAACTGTGTTACTTCATACAGTTTACTTTACATGTACTGAATGAAGAACCAAGATTATCACATTACGTGAACACATGCTACACCATTTGCTAAACAGTATGATGATAAATTCTGGAGGCATAAATGTACAAATGAAAGTAATCAATGCATTGTCCAATATATGGGCATATATTTACACAGTTAACGTAAAACGAGTAATTTCAAAGCAAGATAAAATGAGTCATCTTCACATGTACAATTTACAATACAAATACTTAATCTGTCTTCAAATGCCAGTGGATAAATAGCTATAATTTGTATAATATGAATAAGTCCCTGCATAATATGCTATGCTCTCATATTCACTCACCAGAGATTTATGGTTGTCTTCAATAACATGCTACATGAATGGCAAACAGAATAATTAAAATTCATCTAGATAATTGTAAAAGGCACTCCCCAAGTAAATGCAGAGAATCTCTGTCTATGAGTGTACATAAGTCACTACCCTAATTGTCTAAATATCATTCAAATGAAATTCTGAATTTTTCTTTTTGGTTACCGGTATTCAATAAAGTTTCAAGCAAATAGAGTCCAAAATCATATTGCAGTTGGTGATTCAGACAAAGATAACTACCAGTGACCTACATAGTAAATTTCACAGTATTCCACTGAATGGTTAGAGACAAAGTCAACTCTTTTTTTCTGCCTGTAACAGACGTGACCCGAAATGGACGAGGCTAGTTTTACTCACTGAACAGTTAGAAAAGTCTATGATTTGGGGGGTTCAATGAATCTTGTTAAGGTATTAAAGCAGCTTATAACCATACTATAATCCTGGATACATATTGTTAAACAGATATAATAATAATAATAGTGGCTACTTGTACAGTGCACAGGTCCACCTTTCGGTGATCTTGTCCGCTTTTTATAGCCCCCTACAGCTTTGACGTGACATGTGCAATGGGTCATGTAAAGCTCTTATCAAGAATTTTTGTTTACCTGCATCACAATTTAATATGAAAAAATAATATAAAATATAAGTGCTTGTGGTGTGAAATAATGAGATCCAAAAATTGGATGCTTTGACCAAAAACATTTCCACATTTTGCCAAAAAATATGATATGTGAAGAAAGTCCTGCCTAAATGTTCATCACTTTTACTGATATACCACTCAAAGTAAAGAGCTTGGTGAGCTCCTTTGTTTAATACTAAATTTGCCACAATAGCACACATATTTTTTAGTTATTGCCAATTAAATATGATTTTTGACTAGTGAACATTTTTCATGGAATTACCCATATATACAGAACTTCGTCACAAAATAACCTATTTTCGGCTATAAGTAATGCTATTTGTTTCTTTAAGTTTTTTTTGTTGCTTTGAGTAAATATAAAGATGAATCTCCCAATATATTTCATCCAAATACAGAATGATAATGTAGATTTTAAAAAGTATTACTTTTCATCTGCTTTCTTGAGAACAAAGTACTGATATCTTAAAGTTTAGAGATGAGTATGGAAACCAGATGCCTGTTGATGTTTTTAATTCTTAAAATATATTTTCAGACTCGAAAAGTCATTATTTTTTTCTCTACCCACCCAAGCAAGCATTATTTCTAGTCTACCAAACCCACACAAGTGTACAAAGTAATTGAAGGGAAATGACACTTATAAAGAAAAAGAATATATTTAAAGGTTACATTAATTAACATTTACAGCGTTTTGCAACAAATCTATTACAAGCAATACTGAGCTAATCTTTCAGAATTTCTCTGATTAATACCTGTATTTTAACTTCATGTATTTTGGATTTATTGTCTATTACGATCGACACTAAATCTTCTTGTGTACCGTATATATATTATGACTTTAGCATTTCCTCACAGTGGAACCAAAGACTTATACAACATGAATATATCTTGAATTCTTTGATGGTAGTCCTCTTTTTAAGCCAGAAAATTTCTGAGTCGTGATAAATATATTTTGTGGCCTGAAACTGAATACTACCCACTTCTGAATTAGGATTTTTTTTTCTTTTTTTAGTAACGTTATTTTTGTGATTGATTACATTAAAGATACTTTCCAGCATTTTAAAAGTCTTTTCATGTGATTAGATTATGTACACCTCATACTATAAAATGCTCAGCAAAACATCCGAAAGATGTTAACTAAATGGTCACCACTGTTAAAACATGATTTTGCAGTATTATCTAATCAGGTACTGTTTTGTATAAAGTCACTTTCATTAGTAAAGATCAAATCAAACAAAAATATCAAAATTGCCTTACTCTGCAATTAAGATGGAACATAATTCTCAGGGAGACAAGATAAAATAAATGCATTATTCTATCCTTCTTCTTTAAAAGATGTGTCTCAAGTTAATGCTTGAGGAGCAACTATAATAAGGTACTAAATTATATTTCCAAAAGAAACCCCCAATGTCAGAGAAATCTAGTTTTTACCCAAAATATGGTATGATACTGTAATTTACGGTTGTTTTTTTCAAAGCATTCCACATTGCAACAAAATAAAACTTTTTACACTTTTGATTCAACTGCTTGCAATGGAAGATTTACATGAATGTAACTGAAAGAAAACAAAGTAAGACTTTAAAAGGAAAAAATAAACTTCACTGAGATTGATACATCTTTTGGTTACAGATATATGCATAACATTATTAACATATATATATATATATATATATATATATTTATATCAAATATAATACACATAAACAGCAGCATCCTGACAAGCAGTTACCAGCAATCATTTAAGAAGAAATATAATGTTGACTGTTGAATCTTGGATGGTTACAGCAACTAATTCTTTGCACCACATATTCATTCTACAACTCCTAGAGTCCTACTCTGCTGCACATAGTCTTTGGTATCGGGATTTTCTCTACCTGTATGTACAATAGATAGAACAAGACAAGAGAAGGAAGAGTGAGAGAGAGAGAAGAAATGAAGAAGAAAGAGAGAAAGAAACAGGAAGACCAAGAAGGAAGAAGAGAAAGCAAACATTGAAAGATATAGGAAAAGTGAGAGTAAGAGAGAAAATACGGGAAGGAGAGAAAAAAGAGACAAAGATAAGGGAAATGTTAATTGTACAAAATTATTATTTGAATTCTTGCCATTTACAATCAATCTAAAACTCATGCCCAATTTATAAATTTTACATTCAGTTTTTAGGACAAAGAAAGCTTGCATTTCTTCTTATTATTCATAATTTTTTTATTTAAGAGATCATTGAGTCATGCTGTGTACTAATTTATCATAACATTTTGATTGATTGATTGAAGGATTTTATTGATAATTATCGATTCTCGCAGTCCAAAGACTGAATTGCAATGGTTACAACAGTTTACAATGTATATACATGATAAAAACAACTATACAATAATATATTAAAACAGTCTAGGCAATCAACATTGAAATTCAAATAAAAGTGATCAAATGACAATTATTATGGCAACTATCATTAATTTCAATTAATAAGCAAGACAATCTTAACTGAAACATTCTAAAAACAAACTATTGAAATTAATCATTAAAACCATAAATTACGAATTTGGCATGCCGAAGGGTTGATTTTGTGTCATTGGTAAAACATATCGGAAATATTGGAATTGAATTTCATGATGGATTAAGAAATAAAGTGAATTACATTGAAAATTCGCGAAGAATGTTGAGATTTGTTGATAATTTAAAAAAATTTAAATACACATATTGCACTGGCTAAATACTAGGTGATCGGTGTTATTTCATTCATATTCAAGTATTGCTTGTTCTTTAAAATTCAATGCTATTAATATAAATTTTAATTCACAATTAAATATGAAATAATTGAAAATTGATTAAAAAATTTCAATGATTAAATACCTATTGCACAATTACTGGCAAATACTTCCCACAAGGAGTGCATTACACTTTGATTGTATGTAACCTCTTTTTTTATTTGATTTGGCAGCAAGTGTACAGTTGGGGTCCATATCAGGGTCTACTTACACTATTCCATGCCTCATGCAGGTAAATCTTCTATTTCTTACTCTCCAAACTGACTAACACTGTATATTTGTGTATTAAGAGGATGAGGGAGGGTGGAGTAATTTTAAATCATAAATCTAGCAGACTGTGAATTAAATGTCATGTATTTGGTTTCCTGCCAGGAGTGGTAAGATTTAGCTTTTGTTTTAACTCAAAGGTCACATTGTGACCTCTCCAGATTCAAGACATTTTTGTGGGTGTCTTGTATAAGAGTCTCTGCTCTTCTCACTCTACACAGGGGTTGTTCTTTGGGGAGAAATAATGCACTCTTGGCAAATAAGCTAAAACTTAACGGAAAGTCAAGGTGCATGTGCATTCTAGTGATATCTCCTAGATAATTTTAAGTAAATAAACATGAACTAACATTATCTTTATAGGGAGACATTGATTTGCATTATCACTCGACTTATGCCATAATAAGTTAGATATTAACAAGACCATCGAGATAAAGTATAGTAGCTTCCCATTTGATTCCCCAACTTTGTGAAATATAAAATAAAAATATATACGGTATTCCATGTAGACAGTTGTTCATATACATATCAGGACAATTACCCCCGGACTTGACAATTCCCCCCCCCCTTCCCCCCCCCCCCCCCCGGGAAAATTATATCCTTCAAACTCCTTAAATGGTCCCCAAAAGAATTCCTTGTGAACTTTAATGAATAGCCTAAGAAATGCAATACTAGTGATACAAAGGCTAACAAGCAGAGATGCTACGTCATTTCAAAGAGCTTGCATCATCCCAAATCGAAATTCCCTTTTCATCCCTCCATCTCCCTCCCTCTCCGAATAATAACATAGCACATGTACTATTGTAACATGATGGGGGAGGGGGACCTCCCTGCTACCCTATCCCGATACCAGTCTGCATTCTGATACCTCCAGACAGAGTATAAACATTAAGACCCCTGGGCCCTAATGTGAATCAAATGAACACCAGAGCGCATAATATCTAATCCATGTATGTTAGGATGCCAGGGTAACGTAACCTGATATTATATTTAATGGCTGGCAACACTTGACAATGACCTTGGCATTAGAATTATATGGAGATACCACAGGCAGATCCCATGCCACGAATCAACTGTTTCAAGAGCATCCGTATCATAAAGTAGGGTGTCTTGAGGTCAAAAGCACTGTTTTAGTTGGAGGCGTGAAGTTATTCATAGTAACTTAATAATGCATTCAAACTGATGCAAACCTCTCGCTATGTTTGACTAGTGTTCCTGAATTTATAACTTCATACATGTAGTGCTTTACATTATAAATTAACAAAAAGTAAGAATTGTTTATGTGCCTGAAGAGCAGAACAGAAAGGAATTCAGTGGGGTTTAACAAGTGAGGAAGCAAATATATGGATGTTTTTTTTCTAGAGTGGAAATGGTAACATCACACACTATCTGTAAATCTTTATGGGTTGCTTCTTTTCTTGTGAAGTATGTTCTTGCCTGGATTCTGGAAAGGGGTCAGGGATGGGTATCATTTATTTAAAACAATAACAGGAATACATGAATATTAAACATGGAATAACTCTTGTGATGAAAATAAATCCTCAGAGGAAGGCCAACACTTTTAACAATGTTAAATATAAACTTGAGTTCTGGTAAAAAAAGAAAAGGAATTCTCAAAGAATCTAACGAAACTTACACTGAATGTTCAAGATTACAAATAAATGTCATGTGCCAAACAATTTTGGAAGAAAATGTATACTGGCTGAGTAATGAGCATAGAAAGATAAGGAAATCAGGGTAGTACTAGCCCTGACACCATGTGTGTTGTCCCATATACATCTTTCTGTGTAAGTGATTATTACTTTACCAAGACTCTGCCAAATTTATGATGATTTTGAAGACTCCAGAACCTTGCATTACACACCATTACTTACATGCTATATGATCTACTTTTCTGATCCATTCCACACCTTTTCTTTCACAATTATGCAATCGCATTACCAGAACTCAAGTTTATCTTTAAACTTGATTTGTATTTGATCCACATTCAAACATTATCCCCAACAAACAAATGCAACAGAAGACCACTTCCATCAAAGATCAAGTGATTTGGATTCCAATGGCCTTATGCAGGGAATATCTTGCTATTAAAAGAGTGCAATCTGATGTGCTTTAGATAGTGCTATCTCATGTCAGCAGCATTGGGTCTCGTCTAGGACATCTCATCACAGAGATGTTAGGATGTGTTCCTATATACGCAGGGTCAACCTCTTTCTGGGTCTAGGGCATTTCATCACAGCGATGATGAGATGTGTTCCTAGCTAACCAGGGTCAACCTCCATCTGGGTCGTCATGACGCACACGTGATTCCATAATTCACAGTAGGTGCGTCTACATCAGCTCCAGATTGCCAAATAGCCCGCTATTTCTGAATTGGTAAATAATCCTGGAGTTACAAATCGCGTTTTGATCAGACTCGACCTCGAAACTTGAAACTCGAGCTCGAGAAATTAGCTTGAGATATTTTGCTCAGCGTTCGTGCATATAGTCTTCGGGCTGGTGAAGATGCAAAAATGTGGGAAATTTTTGCAAACTAGCCCAGCCCAACATATCTTGGGATGATATCTCGACCAAATATCCTGCTAATTGCAACTTCGGGCAGATGAAGACGCAAATTAATTGGATAATTTGCGATCAGGATATTTGGCAATCTCGAGCTGATGAGGACAGGCCTAGTGTGGCTTTAAACCAATCAATACTTCACGGATAAAGGTTTCCTCATTAGCTTTCCAGTCACAACAGCATTACATCAGCAATGTACCAGTTAGCTCGGAATTTTTTAGTAGGGATGGGGCCTGGGGCCGCACAGGTCGGTTACCCGTTTCTAGTGACGACATGAATGTTTTGGGGTGAAATATTCAAACTTCAATTTGATATTCTAAGAAATTAAAGGACATAATGTAGTTTGACTAAATATGAAATTATGATATTTTATTATTTTTTTAATCTGTCATATATTCTTTTAGAGAGAAAATAATTGGACATCACACAAAAGTTGTGTCATTGAGTTTCTGAAGACCTCTTTAGCAAGAAGACATCAAACAATAGGATCAAACTTTTTCAAGCAATGCATGACGAAAAAAGGCTTGCAGTGAACCATGTTTTAGCTTTTCTTTTGTAATTCTGCATATGAAATGAATAAAAATATTCAGCTGAATGTTTTTTTTCTTCTGATTCCTGATAGAAAATTGAAAGATATTTCAATGTAACCCGATTTGTCAATGGAATATATACTCTTCACATTTCCAGCGACAATCTTATAACATACTTTAAAAGTGAGTACTGCATGCTATTCGTCTTCCCAAAACGGAAGCTATATCAATCCTTCACAGCTGGACTAAGAATAGCCAACTAGCCAGACAATGAGTCGGACCTTCAGAAATCCTAGAGGAGTTTGTAGGCCGGTTCAACCAATGACATTCATCTTGATTGATGCCTGAGACATGGCTAGAATGAGGATGACATCTAGACCTGTACCACCATGTAGCAACAGAATCAATCAGCCAAGTTACATGTAACATACCTTACTGATCACACAAACCATTCATGTTGGTTCAGCCTACATTACAATGCTCCCACAGGGGAAGTTAGGTTGTCATAGCAACCTCATCCATGCATCTAATACCACATGATCTACCCATCTCTTAAAAGGCATCCCAGTTGTTGAGATCTGGTTGTAATGCATTAAATTTAGTGGTTTAAAAAAAGTATACCCTTTAGAGAAAATGTGAGTAAAATCGATGGAACACTGACAACTGCTTTAAAATTTGTGTTCTTTCACCAGTGAATTTATTTCTTCTTTACTAGGAGTAAGCTTTCACTCTTGCTTTCCCATCTTACTTCTTTTTTTCTTCTCCTTTTCTTCTTCTTTAAAAAAAAATGTTATCATTGTAGGTATGTTATCATACATCAGGCTTTAAAAACAAGTTTTTAAAAAAAAAATGAAACCAGATTTAAAGTGGTAAAATTTGTGTTTTTAACCAAAAAATTCTTTTAAAGATTTTTTTAAAGATGATTATTAAACCATTGCCTACATAAAGTGAGTCGTTCCTCTATTAGAGCCTATGGGAAAATAATTCAGTAGTCAATGGTTTAAAAGGGTGAGCTCTCAGCTGGATATCACATTACTTCCATCTTTCAATACCGATGCAATACAATGAATGCATGCACAGCTAGATGTCACCCATAGACCATCGCTTTTATTGTATGTATACAACAAAACAAAAAACAAGGGAGAATTCTTGGAGTGCTTCGGGATGATGAATGTAGTAAGTATGCCATGTCAGTCAGTCAACAAGATACAAAGGGTAGGATGATTACCGGTAATTACAAGAGGTCAATAAACTATCCACATGTTTATATGCCTAAGTTGAAATACCGTTACACAACATGCACATTGGTCTGGAGCTGATTGCATTGTCCTCTCAAAATATATGGTATGTTGTAATAAAGACATGAAAATGTATGTATACATGATTAAAGAGTTTAATTGTATTGTGGTAGCCTTTGTAAAAGGATGTTGCATTCACACTTGTACAATTGCTTTTTAATGGACCCCTCTGTTTCCAATATGTATTTCTACATTTGTTGTAAATGTTTATAATTTATTTGTTATGTTTTGTTGGAAACATAAATTAATTGAAATTGAAATTGAAAATATTTGTTTAAAAAAGGTGGGGGGGGGGGGGAGAGCTCTGACAAAAGTTAATAAATGAATGAAACTCCTAATCTTTAACTTACCTGAAATTCATTCCAGTTACATTCGTTTGATATGAATTGAAATTTCCCAAAGGAATTTTGTAAACAAATAACAAATATAATCCTTTTTCAAAGTTTTCCATTTCAAACCATTGAAATAAAATAAATATTGCTCTTTCTAAATGCCATGAGAACTTCACCCCTGCCAAGCTTTAGAACATATTGCCCTCAATGAACATTAAAAAGGTTAATCTCCCATGTCTTGAATCTGTTGGAGAAAGAAAAATGTAGCCATCCTTAGTTCACTAACATTCAAATTGTTTGGTGTGATTTGCCAGCCAAGAAAGAAAAGGAAATAACTGTTTGTACATTTCTTGTTCTTGCATAACAAAAATTTGTCAAGATGATAACATTTCTATATGTAGTTTATCACTCTCTTGCAAACTTTCCTACGTATTCCTCCTTCTAACATGTGAATCCCCCCTCCCTGCCCCCTCCCTGCCCCCTCCCTGCGGATCCTTCTAGATTAGTTCCCTTCATTACCGTATTACAGCGGTCTGTCAGGGATCCATTCCTCCTGATTTTGCTTTGGCTCTCTCTACTGCATCAAAGAACCACACTGTGATAGCATATCTGAAGATGAGAAAGAGAGGGGGAAAATATGAAGAAAATAATATTATAGAGCCATAATGCGATAGAATACTAAGATCTGGAGAGACAAGAAGAGTATGTTGGAAGAAACATGATCTGACCTCAAAACTACATTGTGATTGTATATTTGAATAAAGAGTATGGAAAAGATGCAATGAGCAAAGAAAAGAAAGAATTGGTGAAACTTGTGAAATGCAAAAGTTCATAAAGTATTTTTAGAAGCCTAACACAGTCTCATTCCATGTACATATTTTGTTTTTGTATTATATCATGAAATATGTAATGAATATGAAAACTGAATGTTCAACGGTCAAAGTATTATATCGGTTTCATAGTAATAACTTGCTAAAAAAAAGTTTATGAAAATAGAAAGTCACCAACATATTTCCAGATATGAACAAAAAATCAAGAATAGCAATGTTGAATTCATAATTGGCCTAAAGCAATATGAACATAAGTATCAAAGAAAAAATACAACGGATGAAGTCAAACGACGTTTCTATATAAACAGAAATGTGACACGAATGTCACCTTTCAATGGATCATGTAACAGATATGTGTCAGTGCCACTTCCTGCCTTTGTTTATTTGTTCAAATGCCATGTCTAAAACAAAGGTAATGTCAAACCACACACACGATGGTAAATCGTAAATCGTGCTCTGAATCTGTAGACGGTTTCTATTAAACCATGTCACTGACTGCGAGAAATACATCTTGTTACTTCAATTTCAAGCAGCAAACCTTTTCTCTTGATAGATGTTGGATGCATGCATCTGGTACAAATATTGGCAAGAGATAGAAATACAAACTTGCTGGCTGGATAAATGCCAAGAGCATGCATTTCCACATGTAAGAGAGAATAGGTTGTACAGGTATACTATGGCAGTTAGTTGAAAAGAGAATGATCATATAATGATCCACCATTCAATGTTTCATTCATTATTGGATGTCATATTCATGGATAAATTAAACATCACATCCAGTCATTTGAGATAGCATTTCAAACATTGATCGATGGCTATGGCATACTAATAGAGATGATTTCCCTGATGAAGTGGCACAAATGAACACATACAGAATGCAAAATGCACAATTTTTAAAATATAAGTTTATGGCAAGGGGGTAGAACTATAACATGGAACTAATGACATACTATACTACAAGGATTAGTTCTGATATTATCTATATTTAACTTTGTCAAATCACAACTTTATTCACTAACATAAAAAATCTTTTCTTAATGCTTGCATCTCCATAATTTTATTAAACATTATTTTTCACTGGCTAACTGCCGTAGCAACAAACAACAAACTCTGTTTTGTTGACGATCAGCCATGCCATGAAGTTTTTCATCTTCTTTGTTGTTAGGGCAGACACCCTGTGGAACGGATTCATATAATAAAATTATGGAAATGCAAGCATTACTTTTAAAAGCAAACATAACTTTGTTATTCCTGGCTCATATTTCCTGATTGAGGTGTCATATAAAAGGGCAGAAAATTAACTCTCTTGAAATGTGATTTTCTCTTTGAAATTCAGATGCCGTTGGCCAGATGACTTTTTGGTACCCTTTCTTCAAATTGTGTTTAATCACTCATGCATAAATTATGCATCATATGAGTTGCATTAAATGAAAGAGGAGGATCTTAGCTTCACAAATATGTGTCATTTATTAATTATAATTGTGGTAAAGTTATGATAAAACATTGATAATTCTCGGTTTCGTTTTTTTTCTGGGACGCACTGTATAGCATGTCCACCATGATTCTTAACTACAATAAAGCCAAAAAACTCTAATATTGATCAAACTGAATGAGTTGAAGTGAATTTCATGTGAAAGTCCATTTTCGGTTATCTATTTCATAAACTTAATCAATTTGGATAATTGTGATGTCAATGTTTCATTCGGGAAGACAGGTGTTAGGATTTCAGATGATTTGAGATCAAATCATGTATTTGTAAAAGGATCACAATAGTTACAATAAAGACAGGCATTATAAAAGAGGTATACTAATCAAGACAATTTCATTAATGTATGCATGTGATGAAGGGGCACAATATTATACATGTACCTGAGACTTGAGAGAGAGTTAGTCTTGTAGATTTATAAGATCAACATAACATCACGAAGATCGGATGACATTCACATCAATGTTTGTCTAGTCTCCATTGTGATTACATCTTTGCAGACCCTGACATACCACATACATCATACTCACACATGTTCACACCATTCATGAATGTGTTTACACCAGTTAAAATGTGTTCACACCTATGGTGTCATAGCACATCTCAAGCTCAAATGTAAATACAGTCAGAATGCATATACTCACTGTGTTCAAACTGTTCATGAAGGTGTTTACACCAGGTGAAATGTATTCACAGATGTGGTGTCATGGCAAGTTTCAAGCTCAAATGTCAGGATAACTTGCGTCATACTACAAACTGTACGTTCACAACGTTCACGAATGTTATTTGAACGCTTGAAATGTGTTCACAGCTGTGGTGTCATTGCACATTCTTAAGCTCGAATGTCAATGCAGCATAAATCATACAATGTTTATGCCATCCACGATGGTGTTCACACCAGGTTTGTAAAACAGTGTATTCACACTGGTCAATGATTCAAATCAGACCAACGTGTTCACACTTATGGATATGATAATGCAGTGTTAGTGTTAGTGTATTCACACTGACCAGCATTAATACCAATGTCTACCCCACTGATAATAACACTGTTGGACACAGTATAATAGTAACATATAAATATATTTATGTACTGAAGAGCAAAACAATACTCTTACAAACATATTGAATGTTGTACCAGCTGTTGCTCATTACATACAACTAATTGAATTATCTAAAGACCTGATACTATTTCATGTTGTTGCCTAGTTGTAAGCGCAGTTCATATACACAATGTATAGACAGAGTAAAACGCTACAATTTGAGACATGTAACTTCCACGAATGACTGATCTTTTCGTGGTAAATATTTTTGCAAAGTGCACAAATTCAGTGGAGGAAATAGGAATCTGAACCACTTGCAAAATATTCTTACCGGTAAATACAAAAGTGTTTAGTTTTAAAGAAATACTTACTGGGTAAAATAACTGTAAAATATGAATAAAAAATTAAAAAACTACAATGTTGGCTTGTAAGAGAAATTAATTTTCTACAAAGTCCATATGCTTGGGCTTCCCCTTTTTTAATTTATGGAGGTCTGGAGTTTAAACTTGGAGATCCACCCATGTTCAGGTCAAGGCCTGGACAAAATTAGAAAAAAGGCCTATTTATTGTGTTCCAAGTTTTCAAAGCCATAAATAGACCTTGCTCTGATTAAAAGAGATCATGTTAGATTGTACCATCACTGATGTGAGAATGTGACAACAGTAGGGTTAGAAAACGGGGTTAGAGAAACGGGGTTAGAGAAACAGTCTTGTAGAATAGGCCTGTCTTCACTATCTCGAGATTGCCAAATATCCAGCTATTGGAACTATCCCGATCGCGAACGATCCAGCTAATTTGCGTCAGACCGAAGTAGCAATTAGCGGGATATTTGGTCGGGATTGTCATCCCAAGATATCTTGGGATAGTTTGCAAAATATCCCACTATTTGGCAAATTATCCAGCTATTAGTCCTGTGCGTCTTCACCAGACTGAAGATTCGCACTATGCGCTAACGCTGAGCAAAATATCTCGAGCTAATTTCTCCAGGTCGAGTTTCAAGTTTCGAGGTCGAATCTCGAGCTGATGAAGACCCGATTTGTAACTTCGGGATTATTTCCCAAATCAGAAATAGTGGGCTATTTTGCAATCTCTAGATGATGAAGACGCGCCTAATGAGATGTAAAATCACCTTGTGGCTCTAGCTGGAAGCACTTCATGAGGATTGCGTTTATCGGACCAGAAGAAGATCAGTCTGTTGAAGATTGGATCTATGTTCGCTACGATGTTCTGATTGGCAGGATAGATCTGAAGACGTCCTCCATGCTTCTATACAGGGATTAAGATATCAAAAATACATCACAGTTAATAAAGTATTCATATTGAATGATGAAGACATAATAGACCATAATTTTCAGGAGTGCATGACCAGGGGAATCACTAGAGGGGGTATGACATTTCCACTACCGGTAATAAAAATATTTCGTTGGCAATTTTTTTTTTTCCCTTTTTTTTTTCTTTTTTCCCTCTATATAGGCTGATGTAAAATCTGTAAGTCTGATGACTGGTTTTCATATCTGCTGGTAAATTGAAAATCTGATGATCCCTTTTTTTTTGCTTGTTGGAAACTGTTCAGCTCACTTGTTGGCAAATTCGGTTTGACTACCTCATCCCTATCAAAATTATCTAGCAATACCCCCATTTTTAACCTTGATTCTAGGAAATTAGACATAGAATGCATAATAAAATATAAAAATAAAACCATAGATATTGGTTAGTAATGATTCATTCTTTTTAAAGATTTTTACCAAAAATGTTCTAAAAAGGGCTAGCCAACCCTTGTAACAGGTTTGATAATATTGGGTGAAAGCAGAGAGGAGCTGTACTAATTAAATACTAATATTAATTTTGTAAACTTTTACTTTTTGAAAAATCTTGTTTTCTTTCTTGAAATTATATCAAAATCATCTATATAAAAATTCATCAACATCAGTATTGATAATGAACTTTCATTAAAACATATCTTATGAAATCTTGATTTTGATATACAGCTTTGTAGCAATGCAAGTGTAAAAAAAACTTTAAGTGGGATGTCCCAAAGAAAGAAGTCCAGGAAAAGTATAAAAAATAGAAAACATTGTACAGAGGAAGGGTAAGAATTGAAACAAATTGTGAAACAAGAACAAACAGAAAAGAAGAAAAAAACTAGAACAGTAAAATATTAAAAAACAACAACAGTAAAATATTAAAAAACTAAAGGAATTGTATTTATTTAATCATGGTAAACTCATATCAGCATAAAAATACTTCTTTTCAGCAAAGATGAATACATATAGAAAGACAAGGAAAATATGAAATACATGAAATGTTTTAAAAGCCCCCTTTAAAAAATCCTAACCGTTAAAAGTGTACCAAATACATTAAGCACTTGAGTAATCATTGATTCAAATAAACCTAATCACCATTCCACAGAAAGAGAGAGGAATTCAATATGTTACATTAATGACATGAAGGACTTCAATCTTAAAGTTGAAGTGCAACTTCTTCATGGTTAATAAATGACAGAATATTTGTTCATCACCAACGTACATGTCTTCTGTCACGTAGTATCGCCTACCTCATGAATAAAAAACCCTGTAATTTGTTTCATACGACATGTAGTAATGATCTTCCTAAAGCTTTACAACCGTACGTAATCCACAATGTGTTGACATCTAGAGGTCTACATTAGTTGCTTACATACATTTTATTATGTGCTTGATTTGTCATAAAAAAATGATTAACATCAAATGAAATCATGACAATGGTTTTATATGGGCTTCAAGATAGAAGTAAACAAATACTTGCAGAAAAAGAAAGTTTGTTCTTAAAGAAATTACTGCTCTGTCTTCAAACCAACTCCTTTTCTTTGAACACTTGCCAAATAGAATCAAACTAATAAAACTATTATGCCATTATTATGGCAATTCATAGCAGATCATGATGTAGAAAAAAAATCATTTTATAATCAGTCAATTACAATAATGATGATAACAAATTAAATTGCAAACGTTTAAAAGCTTCTAAGAATAGAAGATTGCAGACATCAACCACAGGAAGAGGAAGATGCATGGTATGTTAATAAAATCTTTTGCGGCATGCACTGAAATAGCCTGAAGGTGATGACCTACTTTTATGAAAGACCAACTTCACAATTCAGTGTTGGCAAGAGATCCTGAGGAAGAGAGTATACTGTATGAGTCACATGACTTACTGAAACTGCACGTACACCATCCATAACACCACAAAAAAGACAGTTTTAAGTAAACATACACATACATAAAGAAGTAGATAATATAGTAGAAGGTACATAACTTCATATCTACCAGCATACTATTTACAATGGATATGAATGCAAATCATACAATCTTATCTGGCTAATGGCATTTATTCACAATATTTATCAGTGAGGTATTCCTTGTTGACTGTGATAAAAAGTTACTGATATGTTTGTGAGAGTATGTGATTTTCACATTATACATATCACATATTGAACTGCCAAAATAACATCCGACCCTGTTCTTGTGCAACAGTATTCAAACTTTTGAATGTGATAGTAAATTGAAAGATTATCATTCTTATTCTGCAATCTTGTAAGGTCTTTACCACCTTTATCATCATGGTTATCTTACCAAATATTTAAAACTGGTGAGGTAATTCTCCACTTAATCAAAGTACAGTGAAACCTGTCTATAAAGGCCACCCAAGGGAGACAAGAAAAGTGGTCTTTACAGGCAGGTGGTCTTTATGTACAGGTTCCTTTTCTACATGTTTCAATGAGAAACCGTTTTCAAGGGAAACAAAAAATTTGGTCTTTGTAGACAGGTGGTCACTAAAGCAGGTTTGACTGTACTACATATCTATCAACAGCAATTCAAATAACTGACAAAAAAATTATAATTTGTTGAAACTTTAACATCTCTGAAATATACATGTAACTACTGCATTCTTTCTTCTAATATTCAATTTCTATAATTATATTGCTCCTATGAACCACTCTTGATAAAACATTGAAAAGGCCTATAAATATTGTAATAAGTTTAGTGTAATGAAATATAAACCAAGTAATATCCCCCATAATATAAAATAGTAACAGGCCAGACAGGAAAACTACCCTAATACAATATGCCTCTTCATGGCACCATTTTTAGAAGCAGAGGTATATAAAAGGAGAGTAAAAAACAACAACTACATTTCATCTCATGAAAGCCAATAGGGAGGGCATTGATTATAAAAATTGATTTGAGTTAAGCCCTTCTAGCTCAGGATGATCATCATACTATGATGCGCTCTTTACGAAGCATAATAATAATAAAGATTTGGTTTCTACTCATACCTTTGTATCCCAGTCTTTATTGAGGTAGTATATACAAGTAATACAACGTCCGTCTGCGTTAGGATTGTCAATGTGCTTCACATATTTGGTATTGTTGCCAGGGTAACATGCCACCATAGCCTGCAGATATAAACAAGAGAAAATCATGAGGAGAAATTTAAGAAAGAGATGAAATTCTAGCGTTGCCAAGGTAGAAAATAGAGAATTTACAGGAATTTCGGAAAGAAAAAGCCCCTTGTCACAATTCAAAACTTTAAATCTTACAACTGGCATGCATCTACAGGGTGTATGTTCATCAACTTTCTAAAAAAAACTTTCTTCATCAAAAGAAATAATAGGCAGATATGTAATGAGACAAGCTAGGAGACAAGAAATGCAGTCTTCAGAAGCAGATGGTCTTTCTATCAAGGTTGTCTTTAATGTAGGCTTTACTGTCCATTTGTATTGATCTAGTACATCACAAACAAAACTTGATTCTGTTCTGTTTTATTACCATTTCTGTTATCAGTCTATAAGTCATTGCATGGGTATATCGGGTGCCAACTTCATAAAATCACAATTCTTTATGTCTATATTCATGTGATTTTATGAAACTGAATTGAATTGGATTAAATGGAAAAGGCTAGGATTACTTCACTATTATCCAAAACAAAACACAGTGAAATGCAGTTTTCCTTATACAAGTACTTAATCAGTAAAAGTGAAACATGTCATAGTAATATTTAGCAGTGTGTTATAATGACAGCACTGAACAAGCCTAATGTAAGTGGAGTGAAGCAATAAAATGATTTCCTTGTTTTCTTTCTATAAGAGAGTACTTTGCAGTCTCCAATATATTATGTTATCAAGAAACTGAATTGAATTGTGTCTTCTTTTCTTCCCAATATACTGCATACAAGTAGATGTAGTAACACTATGATCTCATCTCTTTTAGGTCTGCGTTGTACTGTCCCAAAACAAACCACAATGATTTGTTGATATCAGGGTCTTATTTTGAGATTTGATATTCCTACATCGGACACCGTGACACCCCAAACAGACCAAGATCATTTGCATCTCATTAGCATTAGACTACGTGCAGAAAAGAGTGTATACAACAGTGGCTTGGGTGTACATTGACCCCAAACACTATACTCCCAGCTGGTCGTACCTCAAAGGCTTTACTCAGAGGCTCAACTCAAACCAAGTCAAACAGTCACGTATGGGATGGGATATGCTTCCATGCTAAAAACAGGACCCCTCAAGACTCGAAAGCCCAAAATATAACAGTAAATACACCAGGGCTGTCATCAGGCTTAGCTCTCTTTCCCCTAAGAACACAAGTCTTCCTTAGATTTTTTTCTCATGAACATTTTTGGCAAGGTAGGATGTGAATGAGAGTAAACGATAGTCCAACCTGATATCCCGGTTGCTATTTTTGGATCATGTAGGGGTGGTACGTGCAAAAAAGTGGTATAACTATAAGACTGGAAGGAAGACGGGTCACATGAGGTGAACCAACTAATGACATACCTACCACATTCACTCTCAGCATTCTCATGTTCTACTATAAACATCAACACCCATCTATGATCTAAATATAACTTTGTTTACAATACAGCGAGAAGCCGGTGGTAGAAACATTTAAAGCCCATGAAGAGTTTTGTTAACGACAACCCCCCCCCCCCCTCCGAAAAAAATTAAAATCATAAGATTTCTTTGATTTTAGCTGATATAAAGCGAGAGGCTAGAAAGGAGCAAGTCCATGGTATTTAATCATTTAGGTGTCCAAAATTTTACCAAATATTGTGTTCTGAACATAAATTGACATCAAAATGTCACTTCACTTAATCATACTAGGTCTTAACTAAGCTCCAGTACAGCTACCAACATATACAATGATTAGATTCAGATATTTTGTCCACTGGTAATATGGGATAGCTTGGACTTTCCTAAACAGGTGTCTCTTACATCTAACTTAGTTGACCAAATTCATTTATTTTCTTCAAATGTCTTTTGAATTTCAAGGAGGAAAATATAAATGGGGTTTCAATAGTTGGACAAATCTTTTTCTTCCTTTATCCCTTAGTCACGGTTGGCTGTATTTAATTCAAAGCAACCACAAAGATTTGGTACATTGTTTTGTCATTGATTTTTCTTTCTTTGGGGCTGAAACCACGATAATGTGGCATTTGTGAAGAAAACCGCTTTGGAGGTTTTCCATTGCTCTGATGTTTTATTTCATTCCATTTTGGATTCGCTAAGGCAGAAGGCACTTCCCTCTCCCACATCATTGTGGCATCTCTGTAAATCAAGGAACATAACAGAGTTTACAATTCATGCCTTGCAGGAAAAGGAAATGACAAAGTATTATCTTACTTTGTTGGGGTTTAACTTTGAAATTCATTATATTCATCAATGTAATCTAAGCTTATTCATGAATTGTAATTTTCCAGGCTTCACACTTAAAACATAAAAATATAAACAGGGGCCAGGTATAGACAGACCTCAATAATTTCTTTGTGATCCTCACGACAAAAGTTAGTTTAGAACCATGACTTAAGATACAATATCATCTATAATCATCTGTGACAAATAAATCCTAAACACCTATTCATCAAAGATGTGATATCTTGAAAATACAAGCATTCCAGGGGGCGTTTCACAAATATCCTATTAGTTATCTAATAGGATCTTTGTTGAACTTCAAAATTATGGAAATCCATTAGAATCTTTGAAACTATTTTATAAAAGTTATTTTAAAAGGCATAAAATGTTGATTCAAATCATTCATATTTTCTATCATCGAGGAGATTTCATGTTCTTGATGTGGAGTTTAGAAGTCTAAAATACTTAAATTTTTGCTTTTGAATATATTTTATTTTAAGGCTACAAATGGCTCTCTATAATGTGTAAGTCCAACTTAGAGTTAAGTTCCACTCAGGTTCTTTGTGAAACACCCCTTTGATTGAACTTGTACTGGGCTGTATTCTTATTGCTCCTTATCATCAAATTGTCAAAGAATACAACTATGATACCAAACTTGGTGGATTTAAAAAAGGAAATGGAAATAGTTGTAATTGATCATCAAGTGTAATGTGAGCCAAACATCTAACATGTAGTCTGAAGAAGTAATGACAGATGATGAAATACTATGATAGGGCACTGTGACTGTATAAACAGGTTTTGTTTACATTTTTGTAATGACCCAATGGAGTACGTGCAGGCTGAAGCATGCATGCCTGCTGTGCCTGGACTTTCACCCTCCTCCCAAAGCTCTACTATAGACATTCATCTCATAAAGTGAACACACGTTGCTTTTGTCAATTTGTCTATTCCTCTCCAATATTCATCTTCTTTTCTCTTTCTTTGTAAGACCTCTTTATCGATCTTTCATCCTTTCCTTACCTTCATTTTTCTTCAATTGTCTCAGGTTATTAAAAACGAATTGGAGAGATGCTGGCAAGGTATATCACAGAGTTACCAATTTGTAATCAACTATAACTATACAAAATCATTTCTCAGATTTTCATCTAAATTTCACATATAATTTTCTATCATTTTATATAAAAACAGACTCTAACATTACCGTGGACTTCCATTATATGAAAATGAAATATGAACATATATTGCATAAATTCCAAAGCTCATTATTAACTTAAAGGTTTGTTTATTATAACCTTCTGAAAAAAACAAGCTGTAGGCCATATTGGAATCCATGATAATCATTGATTATGTGAAAACACAGTTTAAAATTACCAAAAGAAAATATGAAGAAAATGAATACAGAGCATCATTACTTTTAAACCATCATTACAAATATCAGCACAAAATACTTGAGTGCATATCCACTAAGAGGTTTCTTATATAATGTTTCACATGTTAGTGCACAACATGAAGGAGACTACTTCTAAGGAAGGTTGGAAAGAAACAAGAGGAAGAACAGGATATTGTGGAGAGAGAGAAGAGTTCAGGATAAATAGTAAAATCAAAATGAAGAGGATATGAAAGTATCGGTAGTAATTAATTGTATGAGAGACTTCCAAGAAAAAGTGTTCAATAAAATACTAAAATAGGTTGAACATATTTAAAGAGAGAACAAACCGTAAAGTAAAATATTATAGTTTACTATTTCAAAAGGCATTTTTCCCCTACATGAGTGAATTTTGGAATAGAAGGAAAAATAAAAAAATTCTTGCAAATTTCTACTTTAATTTTAATTTTTTGACATGAAAATTGTTACCTTGCATTTGTTTTCATCAACTTTCTTGATATTTTTTAATCATAAGCCAAAATCAGAATTAAGCTTTAAAATAGAAATAGCCATATATCATGATTGAGGGGAATAACTTCAAGTAATGAAACAAACATAATTTGAACATCAATAATAATAGCTTTAGAAATGAAGAGTTTGGGCAGGAGATGGGTTTGGGGACTCAAATTTCATACTGACACCGAAAGAGCTAACAATATTTTGATCTTCTCATATAAAATATATCAGCCTGACAGAAATGTTGTGTTGTCTTACATGTATGTATCTATAACTTCTTGGGCCATCTTTTTGTGGGTGCTCATTATAATACTACAATGTGTAAGATGAATATATTCTTGCAAATCATTATAAATTTTGTTTGGATTATGTATACAGTAAAATTATGAATTTTCGCCATGATCAGATGTCAAATACTAACTCGGATTAATTTATTTCAGGCAATCATTATGATGTATTTTGAGTTGCAGTTATCAGAGGTACTTCTCAACATACTAATTCTCAGATGCTTCTCAACAAAGATTTAGTAGGCTTTCAGATGGTCAACATAACATAAATTAATCCTACTGCATTATGACTAATAATTTAATGTGGTTCCAGGAACCTGTGCATCCTACCAGACTATAGAGATACAGATACATGTAGTAAACCAATTAGTATGGTCTGTATAAAGGTCAAGCGTTCAGATTTTCTACATGAAGGAGAAAGTGTAGTCACCCCCATAACATTCATTAACAGCATGGTCCAGATGTTGTGATATTCAATGCATCTATACCTATAGCCTAAAACTGAAGGCATGCCCATGAGCTTGGGTGTTCTCTCCTCTTTTGCACAGTGGGTTTGTCATCACAAATAATAGAAAAATTGCCAGAACAAAACTACATTAAAAATTGTCATCACCATGAACATGCTGTAAGAGCAACAACTGATAATCATTTCAACTGTGACACTACATTGAAGGGAATATTATCCGAGTATAAGCAAAAATAAGCAGAGCCTCAATACTGAAAGTCTTATTTTGAAAGTAATAATTGCATCAAATAAAGTACCTAATTCTTCTGCCACCTCTAAAAGATCTCATAATTTTCCATTTATCTGGAAAGAATACTGGTAAGTTTTCCCAACTGTGTTTGGAAACGTCCTCCGATTCTCTACTCCTCTGAAACTGTTATTAGGAAGGGTTCTTGATTAATTATATTAATGCACTTTGGGACGGCCCAAGTTCCCTTAAATCAAAGGAATATATGTATCATTATCAAACCAGCTAAGGTGCGAAAAAATAATTGAAAAATACAGACAAACAAAAATTGCAAAGAAAATGTTACTGCTATTCTAATATTTGCTGCTTATACGATTACAACTAGATACAATTTATCTTCATACTTCCTTTTTGTCAATTGCGAAAATAAGTTAAACAATTGAATATATATGATTTGACTTTGGTACAACGTGTATTTTTCTCTCATAAAAACTCAAGCCTTGGTAATATATTCATTGTAAAACCACACAACTGTTAGCCTCCTTTGACTTTGTGTCCATGGTTTCACTTGCATTGGTTTCAATTACTGATAAACACTATGTAACGATATCAAGTTTTTATATAGATTATATTTGATATCCATGCCTCTTTTATATCTATATTTGGGTCTAATTTTGGTATCTTTGGAAACACTACATCTTCTATATCCAAGTTAGAAATCCTTCTTCATCTTGCCCTTCTCTTTCCTTCTCATTTATTTTGTAACAATCCTCTTTTCCCTCTTCCTTCTTCTCCTGCTCCAACTTTTTAAACATTCTTCTCATCTTCCTCCAATTTCAAACCATTATAACTTAAATAATTCCCCTTTTTTAGTCTGGATAAACCATTATAGCCTTCACTTAGTTTAGCTAAATACGTATTTTTGATTTGTGCAATTTGTCACATTAGTATTTGTTTTCTACCTAATTCTGCCTCTTTCATTTGTAGTTTGTAACTTTGTAAATGTGTAATGGGTGGATATTGATAGATACTGTCTCTATTCACACTACCCTCTATCTCCTCTGCCTATTCCCATTTTCCTCCTCCTCCTCCTCCTCCTCCTCCTCCTCCTCCTCCTCCTCCTCCTCCCCCTCTTCCTCTTCCTCTTCCTCTTCCTCTTCCTCTTCTTCTTCTTCTTCTTCTTCTTCTTCTCCTCCTCCTCCTCCTCTTCTACTTTTTCCTCTCTTCCTCTTCTTCCTCTCCTCTATTCTTTTCTTCCTTTACTCTACAACATCATCATGTTCTTCTTTACTTTTCTTTATCTTCTTTCGATATAAAATGATTTAAGGGAGCTCAAATAAGAATTTCAAAGTTAAATATAATTTAAATCAATTTATTAATAAACGTTCTGTTCATTAATTTTGATGTCAATTGCTATGAATGTTTTTTATATATTGTATTTTACATTTGTAAAACATTGCATTTCTTTTATTCTCAATTAAATTAAATTCATATTGATTACAAAGCGGGAGAAAATCTCTCCAAGTCCAACTATAATATATTTTAAAAGAGATCTATTTTAAAGGGTTATTTTTAAAATGGGGCATATGACTACAAAATATTTTGCTGCCCTCTATGCAAAATTGACACACACACTATTATCATTATCATCATTATCATTATTATAAGAAATAGTAAAAAAAAATTGTTTATCATTATTATTTTAATTATCATTATTATTTTAATTAATATCATTATTATTTTAATTAATATCATTATTATTTTCATTATTATCATTATCATTATTATTATCCTTATTATCATTTTAGTAAGATTTTAATAAGAAAAAACAAATATTTTCAGCTTGTGTTTGCAATAGTATTTACACTGCAAGCAATAATTGTCAATTTTTCTCACATTTGGTGTTTCCTCAAAAGTTACTAACTGCTATGCAACTACCTGCAAACACTACGAAAAATGAAATGGAAAAATCTACCTCTGGAGTGTGGTTTTTAAAATAAATTTCACTGATTTTCGAGTGTAAATCCAACTCTCCAAACATTTTTTCTAGTACCGGAAATGTAAATGGCAGTCCCAACAATTTGTTTTTCTTTTTTTCAAAGTGGTGTTGCGCTCTGTAGATGGGCCTAATATCTACTTCTTAAAAGTTGATTATTACTCTTTCTGAATCACAGAGTTTCATGCATGCACAGAAAAGGCAGTTTCACAGATCTATAACATTTCCCTCTCACCATAAAAACAATGAGCTAGTTCCCATATCAATGGTTCATCTTCGCCTATCCTTACCTTTGTCCGTCCATTGATAACCAGGTTACCAAGCTGCCCTTGACATTGCATGATTATTGCATCCATCTTTGAGATGAGATGTCCAATGCTTGAGCATCCTTTCTCCGTTCCATCTCTCCATGCAATCTTATCCCCTCGGATCTCTTGACTGGAGGTATGTTCTTGACTGTACACAAGCTGTCCGTCTGTCAAGTCACCTCCATGATGAAGAGACTTCACTTCTCTCAAGATCTCGTCTCCGACGGAGTCATTAAGAAACTTATCCACCACACAAATGCCTTTGTCCATCATGTTTTTAACTATATACTTGACCAGTGGGGACAAGTTTACATTGACAGGGACATTGCTTTGGTCACCATTGTCTGTATTTGGAGGGATTTTCCACTGAGGGGCAACACCCACAGAAAAAGGGGTTGGCGATGTGATTACATTAGAGTCACTACTACCTGTGTTCTGAGGCGCACCAAGAATAAATGAAACAGAAGGGACATTTCTCATGTAGCCTTCTTCGGTGTTGTTCTCATCTGTGTCTGGTGTTTCTCCAAGTTCTGACAAGGGTTTGAGCCCACGTCCACTCGATGTGGTGCGTCGAAAAGGTCCCGTCGACTGCTCATTCTCTTGTTCGAACTGACTATCGTTGACATCGGATAAACTGTTCAGAGAGTCATTGGACATAAACCCTAAGCTCTGCAGATCCCTTGACATGGACCCAGACGAGAGAGACGAGGACGACATTGATGAAATGGATGACGAGGAGGAGCTCTCGTAATAACGTAGGCTTGGGTTACTGTCACCTGTTGAACGTTTGCGAATTCGAAGACTTGGTAAACTTGCCCTCATGGTACTTTGGTTACTGGCTTTTGATGATGGCTCTCCTACAGCAGTTCGACATACCTTTTTATGGCTATGTAAGTCATTCTCCAGGTGTTCTTTGGAACAATAACGTACATCTTTGCATCGAGAACACGACAATTTACTCATCACTGAACATAGTTCATAGGCACACACGGCTTCAGAGGATACAAGACTCGATGGAGTCTCCGGCTTCGCCTCAACTGCCTCTTTCCCAAACCCACTTTTGTCACGTACGCCATGAATGTCCATATCTGTGTCTTTGAATCAGTTTTGCTCGTCAAGTTTGTATTCGATTGTCACACAGTTCACCGTAAGATGATTTTGAGCTACTGCATCACTACGTCGCGGAAGAGAAATGAAACGAGAAAATAACTAACGTTGTTGTAGTACCGGTTCGGTACTATAGTAAGAGATTGTTGTTATGATTCAGCTGGAGCGAACTGCACGTACACATGATCTGTATACACAAGTCGATCTACACGTACACGCACGTCACTGCACTCACTCCCCGAGATCATGGGGCGACGAGCCCAGCGCCAGCATGCGCTCAGACGGTTTCCACATCGCACACCGCAAACTTTTACTACGAATGAATGATATGATCGTGTGCATGTGATGAAAATTATATTTATTACATAAATGAAATAGCCTTTGACCGAGATGTTTGGAATTATTTGCGATCACATGGTATTTTATCTAAATATCATTGAGTATTATTTCTCAAGCCAGCATGGCTGCTACTTTTTCGGTATAGGCCTACCCGGTAGTCTACTCACAAATATTAATTAGGCTTAGATCTATGCCATGAATCAGATTACATGTCCTTGAATTTCACTATTTGAATTTTGGGTCTTTCTACGGGGCGTTAACGGGGTTGATTTTCATGTTAAATAATATTTCATATTTATCATTTTCAGCCCTCCATTTTCTTTGGAAAGCCAGCATAATTGTATACTGCTAATGCACACGTTACAAACGTGTCGTTAGCTTCGGATGTACGGAAAGTTTTATTGATAATCGGACTGAACTCATTGGCCACTTACGTAAGAAACTTTTAACCAATCATATTTCAGGGACAGTTTTGCCGTGCAGGTGGTACTGTATTGTCCAATCAGGATTAGGCATACAGACTGCTCGAACGTAACTCACGAGCCAAGCATCATCAGCGGTGCACAGCATACTTTCATTGCCATATACAGAGGCGGCGCTCGGGGGGGGGGGGGGCACAGTGCCCCCACTTTTTCAAGTACCCCAAAATGCCCCCTTTTACATAAGAAAAGTGCACTTTTTACTTTGACAAGTGCCCCTATTTTTTTTTTTTAAGTGTACCTTCCCCTTTCCGCCTCTGATAAGTGCCCCTTTTCCTTCGACAAGTTCCCCTTTTCCTTCGACAAGTTCCCATTTTCCTTTGCAATAAGTGTCCATTTTCCATTCTCACCTCTAATTGCCCTATTCAAATCTGAGAGGTTCCCCTTTTGCTTTGACAAGTTCCCCTTTTCTTTGTAAAAAGTGCCACTTCCTCTTTTAATAACTACCCCCTTTGTAACTTGGATAAACGCACCTTATATTTTCACCTGTGCCCCCTTTCCTTTCTAATAAGTGCCCCTTGTCCTTATGATAAGTGCCCCCATTTAAAAAAGAGCCCCTTTCCCTTTTCATTAATGCCCCTTTTTATCTATGAAAATAGTTCATTTTCATTCTCATAAGTGCCCCTTTACATCTCTTGTTAATAACCCTATTCAATTCTAAGAGATACTCGTTTTAATTTGACAAGTGCTCCTTTTCCTTCCTAATAAATGCTCTTTTTCCTTCTTATAAGTGCCCCTTCCCCTTCTCATAATTACCCCTTTTCATCTTTTTGCCCAGTTTATTTTAACATGTGCCTCTTTTTGTTTTTAATAATAATAATAATAATAATATTTAGCTTTTATATAGCGCTTAATACAAATGTCCCTAAGCGCTTTACAAATATACTATTACCCCGGTCGTTGGATTCAGTGCTTGCCCGCACCCGGGGCCCGCACACGCTGTGTGCACAATCTCCACTCCCTGGGGAGCATTCCAGCTAGGCGTTACATGACGCTCAAAAACTGTTTGACCAACAATGTCGCATCCCACTTCCCCCTTATCATAAAAGCCCCCTTTTACCTCCGATAAATGCCCCTATCAGAATCTGATCGGTGAGCCTTTTCTTTCAACAAATGCCCATTTCCCATTCTCATAAAATCCCTTTTCATACCTGGTGCATGCCTCTTTTTTTTGGTGTAAGAAGTGCCCCATTTTCACCTCTGATAATTAGCCTTTGTACTTTGACCCCGGACTTTGACACGTGCTCCTTTTCTTTTCTAATAAGTGTTTTAACCCTTTCAATAAGTGTCCCCTTTTCCTCTCATCATTAAACGTGCCCCTAATTTCAAGCGACTAAGAGCAATTTCCCCCGAAGCTCGCTCGCTACGCTCGCTCGTAGTTATAGATGATTTATTATTGTAGCTTATAAAAGGTCTTTTCAGTCTTCCGTTATGAGAATGTGCTTATAACACCATTAGGATTGTTTTTTTTTCCTCTTTATAAGATGTAATTTTTCGCACTGCGACCTCACAAATCTTAATAATTTTCAGACCATCACACCCAACTGCAAAGTATGATGCTTAAGCAATATATTATATGATGTTCAAAGGGACTTGGTAACATTGTTAAGTTGAGAGAAAATGGTGCTTAGGTAGTGACTTCAATGCTAGATGTACAATTAAAGAAAATCTGAAAATTTGAGTGAAAAAGGACCATTATGAATAATAACAATTGGAAAAAATGATCTGATTAATTCCTTAATTCTCCCAATTATATTATTACAATTATTTAGTTACATTTTAGGTGAATGTAAATCGTCACAAAGCAAAGAATTGGCTCTATATACCATTCCAGACATTTAGGTTTTGAAGGATTTTCAAAAGCCAGTCTTGTGACTTATTTTCATGGAAAAACGATTGGTAAAATTTAAAAATGTTTGGGAGAATTTACTGGTTAATCAGTGTTGGAGAGTGTTGCACAGTGACGCCTTCAGAGAAAACCATGAATATATTTGTGGTTTGAGATTTTTGTCAGGACTTTTTGCCTGTTATAGGTTTAGTATAGTAGAAGGAAAATAAAATGTAACATTTCACACACAAATAACACATTCTTTTTATCCACCTTCAACAATGTTACTGAGTCACTTTAAAGAGATATAACAGATATTGAAATCATCCCTGATAATGTAATCACAATATAGGGGTATATACCAATGTCTTAAAAAAATTCTTTGAGATTTCCCTTTGAAGGTGCCCTTTTTTCCAGAAAGTGCCCTTTTTTGTTGGTGCCCCCCCCCCCCCCATTTGGAAGTCGCTCCGCCGCCTCTGTTGCCATAGCATAGGGGCGCTGCCACCGGGGGGGGGGGGGTTCGTTTACTGATCTCACAACATGGAAGACATGGACGGCGGATTGTTCTTTAAAGTGGGGTGCACCAGCAAAACGGCACTTTCTGGAGAAAAAAAGGGGGCACATGAAAAATGTAACCTCAAAGCTAAAAAAAATCTTTGGACATTGTATAGGTCTATACCCCTACATTATAATTGATACATTGTCAATTATGATCTTAAAGATTTCCTAAATATCTGGTCCAATTAAAATAATTTTTCAACTTCTCGGTTGTATGTGCTGGTCTGAATTTTTATTTGCAATGGGCATTTTCCCTACATAAAAAGGGACAATTTTGAGGTTCACGAAAAAGTGAGGACGGGATGTGTTCGGGTTCAAGACTTTAGAGATATTCGTCCTTGTTTTATAGCTCCAGATATTTACGATCATTTCAGATATAGCGCCATCTACGAATGAAACATTATAGCATCAACCTTTGTCGCCGAGAACGTCGTGTGTTCTCTTTCATTTTGTTATATTTTTTGCTAGATCACTTTCATTATGGATGATCAAATGTGTCCACGTTGTAAAACAACAAAATACAGGAATCCATCGCTGAAGCTTATGGTGAATGTGTGTGGTCACACGATGTAAGTACATGATAGCATGTTGATTGTACCAGTGAAACTGGAGTAAAGTGCTGATTATGTAGTCCGATGCGTTCCAAATTGTGTGTGCCATATGAAAGGTCAAACTTGTTTTGTTGACTACTGACAAATGTAACCTAGTCTAGAAATAGAATTCATAATTCGGGGGGGGGGAGGGTCGGGGGGATACTTCCATTTTAAGACATGCGGGGTGTGCCGCTCTAATGGGTTCCTTTTTCGCAAAAAAAATGAACATGGGTCCCATTTTCAACAAAAATATCCCGAAACATGGGTCCGGTTTTTCAAAAGTTCAAAAAATGTTTTTGTGAAAAATGGGTGATACTTCGACAAATTACCCTAAAGAAATGGGTAGGGATTTCGAGGCTTGAGCAGCACACCCCCGTCCAAAACAAATCTGAGTAGATCTAGAGCTCCAAAATGCTTAAAGATGAAGTTGAGTTCTGGTCATGCGATAGACAGAAATAACCGTCTGGTATGGGTCATTCTTTAATAAAACTGACATTTGTCGATATTCCCCATAGTAGGCATACACAGACGGTATGACCCTCATATAGGCTATGTGTTGAAGATATCACGGCTGGAGTTTAGCCGTTTGGCCCCTCCCACAAACATGACAAACTTGAGGAGAAATACATCATTTATCTTCAATTGCAGTCATTTTCTAGGCAATTGTCAGTCCCTAAAAGTTCCCTTTTTACCCCCCTTCCCCACGAAATAGAAATATAAAAGAAATAAAAGGACTTACCGAGCTTTTGGCTGCTTCTCGATGACCCACGTCAAGCATTCTGACCGACAGAAATCAAAATGGTGGCTAATGAATATTCAAATACGATAATGAGGATGGTTGACCTCGCCTCGGCTAGCTCCTCCGCGCGTCACGTCGAGGATAGCGCGATTTCATATGCAGAGGTCCAAGGTACATATTTTCTTAATGTTTATCATGTGTGGTTTAATTCTAAATGCCAATTGTATATGTTAGTGCATGCGATTCTTACAAAAAAAGGATTTAACTTAGCGTCAGGGCAGTATCGTCTTATCATATACCCATAGAGTGTATCTTCAACGTACGATGGCATAGGCGATCGTTCAGTCTCTATATCCGGAGGTCTAGTGGAGCCAGACGTAGTCTCAGTGGAACAACCGACGATATAGAGACTGAAGCTTTTGGTCTAGTCATGCGATTGCATTGTGAAAGAAACGGTGTGGAATCGACAAGAAAAGAATCTAGCATATAAGAATTTGTGTGTATTGCAAGGTTCTGGAATCATCAAAATGATAAGAAATTTGGCCAAGTCTTGGTAAAGTTACAAACACTGTACACAGAAAGATGTTTATGGGACTACACGAACACGTGGCGTAAAAATCCCACCCCCAAGTTTTACGATGTTAAATGACATATTTAGAATATGAAGGCATTTGAAGAGCCATGCTTTTCAGGGAACATGTCTTATCTGATGTTCTTCAACACTTGCATAATAAGAATGATAACGCTCACAAATTATTTTTCACCTCTTCCCAGAACTCAACCTTCTCTTTAATAAGACGTGTATGAATCATGGCTATACCCCACCCAGCCATGCCTGAATTGATATTGATTATGATTATGATGTGAAGTGACGTAAGATCTGGGAGTTCGGTTCAAATGCGGTTAGAAAAAAAAATATCAAGAATATGGTCCTATCTCACATTATTCTCAGTATCTGCACAGCTTGTGACAGGTGAAGAAGTAAACCTTAATATTAGTTTGTCTACTCTTCGACTGGTATGGAGTGCTGGTTTGTGATTGGGAAAGCAGCAAAGTTTGTGCCACAGAATACAGATATTTCTACTTTGGTCCCTGATACTGTAAGAAAGAAAAGAAAAGAAAATCTTTATCATTTTGATATTTCAGATGTGATAACTGTGTTGAGCTGTTGTTTGTACGAGGAGCTGGAACATGTCCTGAGTGTAAAACACCCCTCAGGAGAAACCAGTTTAGAGTACAAATCTTTGAAGATTCAGTCATTGAAAAAGAAGTGGATATCAGAAGGAGAGTGATGAAAGAGTAAGTACAACAATGTATCTACGTACGTAGGTCTATACGTCTATCTTCTTATAAATATATCTATAAATTTACATGTATTTACCCATCTATTTCCATTCCATCTACTGTATCTTTATTATCACAGAAAGTGGTTAAAAAATTTCATAAAAGTTAAATTGTTACATGAACAAAACTGTGCCTAATACTTGCACATCACCTAGAGTTAAAAATCTATCAAGAATTTGATAATGGATAAGAAAAAAAGTTAAGAATCAATAGGCTCTGGATAAAGTAAAGTGAAAGTAGAGAACAAGAAAAGTTTCACGACTTTTATATTATATTTCCTATGTTTGTCAAAAAGCATTCTTCCTGCAACCCTGTAGTTCGAAAATTTATCTATAGATACCTGAACAGTAGGTAAAACCGTCAGTTTATGTAATTATCCAAGAATACCTAATCATGTAAGCCTAATTGGTGTTGTACTGCACAGCCTTAGAACACAAATAAATAACCATATGTACCAAGCATAATGTGGCCTATGATCCATGTTATTTATTAGATGTCGGGTATCTTCTTTGGTTATGACTGTACAATTTTCTTTATTTCAGCTTCAACAAACAGGAGAGTGATTTCCCTACATTGAGAGAATATAATGACTACCTAGAAGACATAGAGCATATTGGTGAGCTTACTTCCAGCATCAGTTACCGTTCTTAGGTTGATATAAGTTGATTTTAAACAGGGCTCTACACAAACTTCTGCTTAGGGGTTTGGATTGAGATCTTTAGGGTCTGTATGTATATACAAGTCCCATGTTGAAGTTTTTATTTGAGGGTCAAGACTAAGATTTGTAATGTAGGGCCAATGTGTCCCTGGTCTATGTTAATGTCAAGTCTTGCTGTTTATTCTTTCACAATTATATCAGCCTTTAAAAGGTACATTCCAATGCATTCTAGTGAGTATAAACGTGGTTGACATATGCAAAGTTATTGTAGTTAAAGATAAAGACCAGTTATGGTCATGCGATTGCATTGTGAAATCGATCAGAAAGGGTTAATCATCTAGCATATAAGTATTGGTGTATACTGAAAGCTTCTGGAATCATCAAAATGATAAGAAATTTGGACCAGTCTTCGTAAAGTTACAAGCACTGTACACAGAAAGATGTATATGGGACTATGCGCACACGTGCGCGACACGTGCGTTGATCTCTCACATACCAACAGATAAACTAATTTACCAAATATATCAATTAGTAGGCGGTTTCCCGGCAAAATTGTTATCATCATGTATTAGTCAAAACATATTCTTTCACATGATTGGTAATAAGAGCTTCCATTTCTTTTTTTTAAATTGGGGCGTTTCCAATACTGGTCTTTATTATTGTTAAGTCTCTTTTGGTACTGTGCTTGATATCTACATCCCAAAACTAAGATTAATCATGGTCCCAGTTGTTAACTTTTACCTTTCAACTTGACAAATGTTGAATAGTAATTTCTTTTTTTTCTTCAATTCATATTTTATTTCATTTCCAACAGAAAGATAAACAAAGGTATTACATATATTATTACAGAAAGTATAATGAATACTGATCCCCCCAATATTTCTGATGTATTTTTAATGTGTCTATAATATGTCTTTCTTTTAAAGTTTATAACCTCACCAATGGAGTAGATGTTGAAGACACCAGGAAGAAGATTGAAAACTACAGAAGAGAGAACAAAGAACTGATTACCAGGAATAGACAAATCAAGGTTAGATTGTATTTCATTATTATAGGATGGAGGGATAGTGTGTTCCATCTTCATGCAATTCACTTTCATCTTGTGGGGGCTGGCTACAAAAAAAAAAGTTTTTTTTTTCATGGAAAGTAACTAAGGGTGCGTTTATGCTTGATTTTGAAGGTAGAATGAGCGATCTGAAACGCTCATCGTAATCGCAGTTCCACGGTGTACTGTTTATGCTCACTTCTCTGGCTCCTCCAGGCAAATCTGGCTGGGTGGCCTTGCAGCTGGATTCGCAAACCTGCACTGCGCATGCTACGTAGACCCACTAGAGGTCAGTGCGTTGACCCCATTTAAACGCGTTTACAAATAATTGTGCGTTTATGCTTCCCAGAATCGCAGATTTTGCAGCATCGCCGATCGTAAACGCACCTCTTTGTGAGTTTACGATCGGCGATCGTGATCATCGTTTTTCGGTGATTCTACAAAAATGAGAAAGGACGCAACCGTGTTTTGAACTAAATGCGTAACAGATGCCTGATTCTGGCCAGAAAAAGTTGAGCATAAACATAATAATAATAATAATAGCCTAATAAGTCCACTCCAAATTTTATTAAACCGAAACGGAAATTCTTTTTGCCCAATTGATCGTGAGCCCGGCAGCCACCTTGTCTTCTGTCAAGACTTATTGAAAATTTTATATATGACCACAGTTGTAATAAATGGATCCTGTAGGCAGATCGGTTCTACCTTTCTACCAAAACCGGCTATATTTTGTATTTGAATTTAATGCATCCAATGAATTGTTAGTTGTGAACAAGACTCCTGAAGATGTTGTATTGATGCTTGAAGATGTGGGAGCCTAATAAAGGCTAGAATTATCCATGTACACTACTGGGGGCCCGTTTCATAAAACTTGTCATCAATGACAAATGACAGTCTTTGTTATAAGCTAGTGATTTCCTTGCTTCTGATTGGTTATTAGTGGATTTGTCACTGATTTTGGTCATTTGTCATTAAGAAAAGGCTTTGTGAAATGGATCCCTGATCAATGCCAACCCTCATGTGTCATAGCTACAGAAGAACGTTTCTAGTCGGGCAATCGTTTACAACCGGTGAACTTGACTTCGAGTGAATGCAATGCAAATATTTCGCTGTGCAGAAGTACTGAATGGTTTCTCCCTTATTGCACAGAGTCATGATATGATGTACCTAGATGCACTGTTGGAGGAGGAACAACAGATCACGGAAGAACGGAAACAGGAATATCAGTTCTTGGAGAAGCAGACGCTTAACCAGAAGAAAAAGAACAAAGAAGCCCTCCTAGATGAACTGGTAGGTCATAGATACATCGGAATCTTATCCAGAAAGAAGGAAGTCATTCACAATATGTTCTTTTGATAACTATCTGGAATGAAAATGAAGAAATCACATATCCTGCAAAATTAACTGAGAAGAGGTTGCAGGAGCAGTTTGGGAAATGTGTGCTAGTCTGAAGAAGATAAAATTAGGGGGGGGGGTCAAAGTTAACAAATTTTATTAAATTTTTTGTTTTAATTAAGCAACAGTAAGTACAAATGTTTGCAGGCCGGTTTTGACAGGAACCATACTTATGATCCCAAGTTGCGAAACTTTTTGTTTAGCTTTTAAGAGAATAATCAGGTTGCAAAGAAGAAGAACAAAATTTTGAAGAAGAGGAAATGCAATTGAAATTATCTGTAAAATGTATTATCGGTATGTGCCCACCACATTATGGTATTTTTTCAGGAAGCTCTGAAAACCTTTAAAGTCCTGTGAAACAACAGTTCAGTTTGTAAGGGCACTATACAAATCAAATTATTGTATTGAATTTTGTTATAGTATAAAATCTGCTATTGTTTGATAATATGATGTAAATTGATCCTGATATATAAAACTTTCAAGCATCCATTTTAGTTCTCGCTTGCACCATGAAATATATAAAGTATTGTTATAAGTCTATTATCAATGCTCAATTGTGCATAAAACTATTTTAACATGTTGGAAAGTCTCTTGTAAAATTATTATGGTTTCATGTCTTAAAAAAAGATAAATCCCCTTTTGGGGGTGAAACTATAACATACCCTTTGCCAAGCCAACATTTTTTGAGTATCTCCAACTTTTTTATCACCAGTCTGGAAAGAAAATCGTCACTCATTGTTTTGTATGTGGTCATTTTGCTTCCTATAATAACGCAGAGACTTACTGAATTGACTTTTGTTTGTTTCTTTCTTTATTTAGATCTATTCTGATCGACCAGCAGATCAGGTGATTGCAAGTCATGTTTCAAATCAACAGAATCAAGATGCCCCTATATACAAAGCTCGTCCTAAGGCCAAAAAGAAAGCTATTGAAACGTCATCAGGAGCAAGGCTGGTAAGAACTTTCACCCTTTCTGTTGCTGCCTTTCTCTTGATCAACTACCTTTTTGTATAATAATAATAATAATATTTAATTTTTATATAGCGCTTAATACAAATGTCTCGAAGTGCTTTACAAATATACTCATATTGTATACTCTCTTTCTTTGTTTTGAAGTGATGACCTTGTACTGCCCTGCAAGGAAACTTCACATCTTGAAATATTTGTTTGAACATTTACGAATTCTTCAGAACCTTGAGGCTTGTGTATTGTACATGCAACACAAGTTTTGCTAGAGTACATTGTTAATATGTTTGTATTTAAATCAAGGGAAGCATTCTGCATATGATGAGAGGCATCTTAATAAGCCATTTCGTAAATACTATCTGCGCATGGGCAGATTAAGGTCATTTCTGATACAGTTGTAAAGCCCACCAAGATGAATACTTGCTCATGTTATGTAATCATTATTCATGTGTTGCACCTATGGTACATTCTATGATACAAGAGGGCAAACAAAAGCTTTTCATGAAGCACATACATGACTTTGGCATTGCTTATTCTAAAATACACAAAGTGGGACTTCTCCATGAGTAAACGATCTGTGGATATTTGGGGTCATTTAACCCATGTGCTAACTACGAAATGGTCTATTGGTTGTTGCTTTTTTGTGTCCTCTACTTTTTAATGTTTTAGCAGCTTATATGAAACATAGTCAACCAAAACAGTCACAGAAACACAAAGACAGTGTGAAAGTATTGAAGTTAATGCCAGTACTAACATGTCTTTCATTTTCTGTTTGACTTTGACACCAGGGTATTGGATATCAAGATAACTTCTTACCCATACCCAAGGTAGAAGAGATACCTTATGAATACATGGAGGTGGAGGTGTACACATTCGGTCCTGAAGCTCCATCCTCTCTAGAAAAGTTACAATCTGATGGGTAAGATGAGTAATAATAATCACTTCTTGTATAGCGCATAACACATTATTATATAATTAAACGTCCCTATGCGCTTCCAAAGAGCTTTGAAGTTATTACCCTAGCTTTAGCAGTTTAGCTCAGGCAGCCGTTATCAGCACACAGTGCATTTCAAGGAATAATCCTGCAGGTTACCCATTTACCTCACCTGGGTGGAGTGTGGCAAATATTGATTAACGTCTCTCCCCAAAGGATGTTGTTAGTGTTGTGGCAGGGATTTGAACCCTTACCTTGTGGTTCACAGTCGAGAGACTTATCCACTGGACCAAGACACCTCTAGCATAGTAACAGAGAGAATCAGAAGAAGTTGATTGCCATGACAGATCTACAACACAAACTCTGGCATCATTTGTTCCATGGTCAATTTTCTATAGTAACTTCATAATTTGACCAAATCCCAAACCCAAACCCAACCAACACCACTGCAATCCTACCCCTTACCCTATATCTTTGACAGGATAAAGCTCAGAATTGTTGTCAGGGCAAATGTTAGGTTTAAACTATGCTTTCGATGACGGTGCTCGAGATATCTCAGGTTAGGGCCTATGGCAAAATAAATGTTATAACAAAAGTAATACCATCTTCAACAGATGGATACACGGTATGTGAGATGAAAAGGATATACAAATGCTGGAGGATAGCCATCACAGTTTCTTAAACTTGAAAAAAAAAGGATTTTATTGTGAAGAAAAAGCAGTATCATTAACTTTCATCCGCTGTACTCCTTCTCCCTTTCAGTTATGTGAGGCACATCCGTCCTGCATCGCCCTCTGGTGTTGGAGGAGGCTACAAGGAGCACATGGCATGTCAGAGAGCTGTAGAGGAGGCTTTCTCTGGACTCTTTTTCTTTCCATTTAGACTAAAAAATGTGGATCCACTAGGAATTGAAACCAGCTGATACATGTCTGTGTGGTACGAACTTGAACCCTTTAGAGAGATTACTTCCAACAGGTCCATTGTAAACGAATGGAGAATGAAACCCTCCCAAAACACAATCTTATACACAAAAAAGAGGAGTGTGATATTTTGGGGTAGGCATGGAGGTTTCATTAAGGTAATGGATTCATCATCTTAGTTATGTGCATTGAGAGACAGGATGATATTGGAGGCAGGAAAGCGATTTGCTGCACTAGATGTGATGGAATGATCCTGTGTATCCATCTGACAAGACTAAAAAAATGAGATGATGGCATGCATGCCAATAATGGGACTTCAGGGTTTTCTTCTCAAGGAACATTTATATAAGGCCCTACTCGGAGACTCACTGAGAGGACGGTAAAGTGATGATGATAATATGAACAAGAAGAAAACAGAGTTTTTTAGCATGACTTTATCAACAACTGAATTGTCTTTTCTCCCCCATTTTTTAAAGGACATACTATTTCATCTTGTGATATTGGAAGTTACGTCTAATAATTCTTCTGTTATTGAAATCAACTTTATATTAAAGTGGACTTTCTCCCCCCCCCCCCCCCAAAAAAAAAAAAATGGATTCAGTTTTATAAAAGGAAAAGCTGAATGACATCATAGGGTCAACAAAAACTCCATAATGTTAGCTATTCAGAATTTGTACCTGTGTATGTTTGTGAATGTAAAGGCATATTTTGTGTTCTAAATGAATAGCAAGTGAGGTTAAAAAAAGTCCTTTCGTTTTGGCTGTGTGTTATAAGATACAAGAATGTGAAGTGCAGTATGCTTAGAACTCAAAGCAGTCAAAAGTGCAACTTTCTAAATCTTCTTTGGAGGAACTGAGATTGCAAACAAGGAAATTGTCTTTCTTCACTAACACTGTTTTCTTCAGAGGATTCAAAATATCAGTGTAAAAGTGATCTTTCAAAACATTCAGGGGGAGGATAAGACCTGTTTTATGAAAACCCGTTTGTTCATTTAAAAGGAAGCCTAAAGTTATACTGAAAGGACTATCTTGACTGTTGATTATATTGCAGGGTCTAATAAAATATTATCAAATAATTGGATTATGTTTATAGATGGGTATTCAAAACCACAGAAGAGTGGTTTAGATCAATTCCACTTTCTCCAGATGTTTCTTGCAGACCCATGCAAGAAGTGCTTTAGATTCTTGTACACTTATGTATCAGTTTGAGTAAGATTTATGTTAACAGAAATATTTTGCAATAAAAACATACAAATGAAAGTAACTAGTAATGTGTGCAATTTATTTAGTACTGTCTTTTTAGCCGTTATAACAGAAGTTATAAATTTGATTTATATTTTTATGCTGTACATGTAAATTTTAGTCACATTTCCTCTTTTGAACACTGTAGTTATAAACCTTAGTCCCATTTGATATATAATGACAGCTGTTACAATAAATTGTTCTCAAACTGATCTCTCTTTGTTTATGTAAAAAATGTACTTGTATTTGATATTCTATTGATTTGAGAAAAGTGATGCTGAAAGATCATAGCACATACACATGTATTACTTTTACATTTTTATTGATATGTTGTGTGGGGGGGGGGGGGGGGGGGGGGCAACCTGTCACTTTATTTCCAAGTGAACATGCATGCATACACACTCCTACAAGTTAGAAGTGATTCTAGGTGCCCCAAGCCTACTCCCCATCCCAGCAATTTGTATTTCTTTATTTAAAAAATAAAAATATATTAATGAATTTAAGTACCTGTAAGGCACAAGTAGAAAATGAATGCAAGACCCCCCCCCCCTCTTCTAGAACCACTCCTGTCACATACACACACACATACAACCACATACAAACCAAAAGCTTACTCCTAATTCATCACCATGTAATTCCTCACCATGTAATTCCTCAGACAATTAATCTTGTACAAAATGCCATTTAATTTTTTTTTATTTATCAAGCAATTGCTGTGAGTAAAGACAATAAAGTGAATAATCAATCCCTTCATATTTAACATGAGTTAAGAGAGATGCATCATGATAATGGAAACCAGAGTATCAACAGTGCATTATTTGGCAACGGTTTAAATCACTTGTGACAATTGTTAAAAATGATGCAAGGGTAAAAAAAAAAACCCACCTTCAAAAAGATAATCGGTCTCGGTGAACAGAAAATCACCATCAAGACCAATAAATGAATAGAAAACCTATGGAGATATTCTGTAACTCTGGGACACACCCCCCCCCCCCCCCGGCCCCCCCCCCCCCCCCCCCCCCATCCCCCCAATACTTGCAGGAAAAAAATTGTTCACCACAAATTTCTTAAAAATGATTAAAAAGATTCAAATAGTATGCATATACCTATACTAAAAAACAAACTCTTGATTTAGATGAATTTGATGATAGTGTTTATTTAGTTTTCTTGTTTTAATCTTCATTACCGGTATTCATATTTTTCCAAGTTTTGCAGCTGAATAGTTTCATATATATGAGTCTGATATGAAGTTGGAACAAGGCACCCTATTTACAAATTAAATGATAGCTTCTCAAATGTGTTGTACAAGTGCTTACTAGACATTGTAAAGAGATGAAGACTAGACTTACTACATGTACGCAATAATGTGGCATGGCATGAAATATAAATTTCATGTTATATCTTATGAATATGCTGCAAATTTGTGAAGGCCTCTCAACCCCTCCCCCATCCCAATCAGCACTAAAAACGTCCTAACATTTTATTCAGATTATATATTTCATATTAGTCTATCCACTTCTTCAGGATTATCTTATTTTCTGGTAACAAATATTAGAAATAATTACATAAATAGATTGTAACATAACTTAACAAAATGTCACAATAGATTCATAATCTCTGGTGGAATCTATAGAAAAATATCTGACTGTTGAGTAATTAATGAAATGTTAGGGGTACATCCTGGCCATTTAGTTGTCTACCTGCTAGACTATTACACATATCCCCAAATGTACATATCTGTGCAGTCTAGTTAATTTGCTTACATTTGGAGGAAGACTTCATCTAAAGGGTCATAAAGTACAATTGTCAAGTGTGCTGGAACAAGCACATGACCTGTGATGTTATGTACATGAAAAAATATCAAATATCAAATTGTTCTCTTGAAATGAAGCTTTCAAGCCTCTCTGCACTAGTTTGGACAGGAGGGATTAGACCTCCCTGCAAGGTCACTGGCAGCTGGTTATCTCATCAATTCAGCTCTCAATTAACATAAGTGCATCATGGGGAATCAATGGGTACTGCTTAGGCATTGTTGGCTGTATAGAAGGCGCAAGTATTTATAAGTAGTGCAGTGGGGCTTTAATGCAAATACTCACTATTGGCTTCAACTCTGATGACAAAACATCCAATGATTAAGCTGATTACTTACTTAAATCTCAAGGTAATATTAGGAAACAAATGATTACCATGGAAGCATGTTTCATAATGAAATCAATGTTGGAATTGTCCTGGAAATAATACATAATAGTTCTTGAATATGAAAATTAATGTGTTCTTGGTTTCTTTATAGCAGGTCCATCTTGATCTGATTCTGATCCTTCTGCACTCCCTGACTGTTCAGTCTGATGTTCAGTCTGATGATCTCCTGCTGCAATTAAAAGAATCAACAAGATACGAGTGATAAACTTGATGACATTATTTGCTCCAGGAAACAACAAGATGTATCTCCTTTCGTTTGCAGAGATGCACAATATGAAAGATTTATCTTGCAACAGGTTTTTGTTCATTATTTACCCAGGTCTGATACAACTTGGGATGGAGTCTAGATGTAGGGCAAATGCATAGATACCAAAAAACTTAAAGTAAAAATATATAAAAATGTAAATGGGGTCCTATCATGCAACTTGATCAATTGTATAGTGACTCGCAGAACATTTGCAAGGCTTCCCTTTAAATACTTAATCATAGACAACTACAGGCCTCACAAACAATAGTAAAAGCAAGGCTTCTGATAGTTTGTTTTCTATCAATTACTTTCAACTAGAATCCATTTCTGGCATACACGAACATCTACATGTACATGCAAATTACAAGAATTATTCTAAATACAAATCTAAGATTCTGAAACAGATGTCATGTTTCATGTTTAAAAAAGAGTTATCTTTATTGTCATCAAAAGTATGAATTGTACCGAGTAAACAATTACAACTGTTTCCTACCCAGTGGTTTCTTTGAATGAATGCAGTCACCTATGCTCTGACATCAGCCATTGAATTGTCTGAATGATGATTTCTATGATGGACAATTAACATTCCCTCACTAACATAAAAGAAAACATAATTTTCAGAATAACTCCCAAGAACTCTAGACAAGATCATAGCTTACCTCCACCAATATCTCCATTAGTCGGAGCACATAAGATAGTTGAAGGCATAGAGAAGCTGATGCACATCATTTCTTTATTGGGAGCAACATCCCTGACATCATGGATCTCTGGACAGTTCAACCTACACTTCAAGATGTCCTCTACCCTGCTCTGGATGTCTTCAGCGGGTTTGTCTGATTTGGAGAAGCCATGGCAATGGACTACAACCTCTGGGATTTTATCTTTGAGTTCCGAAGGCACTAGACTCAGTAGAGAAGGGAAGATGTCTAGAAACTCAACGGCAATGGCAGGCAGGTTCATGATAATGTGCGCTTTGTATTTGAAGCCTTCTTTAGCTTTGGTGATCAAGTCTGGTTTTACAATGTCAACTGCAAACTGTCTACCATCCAAGTTTGATGCCTTTAATCTGCTAGAGAGTTTGTTCTGCTTGGCATTTACCTCCAACCATCGGAAGGATTCAGGATTCAAGTCATTGGCGTGTACTTCACATCCCTTTTTTGCCGCAGGAATGGCAAATGGCCCAACACCTGCAAACATGTCGTATACAACGTCCGTTGGGTGCAATTTCTCAATGATCCGCTGATGTTCTGTTGATAAGCGGGGGTTCCAGTACACCTTAGCAAAGTCAAAGGAATACGCTACATGGTTTTCTTTAACTGTAACCACAGTATCAGGCTCCCCAGCGATGCACTCCATGTTGAAGAATCGATAAGTATTGTCAATCTCATTGAGTTTGTTGACCACCGTCTTGATGCCTGGAGTCTTCTCCAACAAAACTTCCCCTTCAAGATAAAAAAACGAAAATAAAACAGAAAATGATGATTGGAGGCAAATCATGCAAAAGAGAGATAAAAAAGGTATTCTAGAATATATAAAATAACTCATTCTCTATACAAAAACAATGCATGTAAGCTTTGTGTACTAGAGTGGTTCACAAAGGGTTAACATGTTACAGCGACAGGTTTTAATTTTGATCGTACAGGTTTAATTTTACAGGTTTAAAAGTCAGCAGCAGCTTAATATTCATTCTCAATCAAACCTATTAATGAAATATTAGTCAGGAAATGTGTTTGAAAATGCTTTAAATGTGGCTCAGATTACACCAGAGTGCATCAGAAAACCTTGTAGCCCTTAAAGGTAAAGACCAGTATTGGAAACACCCCAATTTCAAAAAATGAAATGGAAGCTCTCATTACCAATCATGTGAAAGAATATGTTTTGACTAATACATGACGATACAAAATTTGCCGGGAAACCGCCTACTAATTCATATATTTGGTAAATTTGTTTCTCTCATGGTCTGTGAGAGATATAGGGTAGTCCCATATACATCTTTCTGTGTATAGTGCTTGTAACTTTACGAAGAATTGGCCAAATTTCTTATCATTTTGATGATTCCAGAACCTTGCAAGATGCTAGATGCTAGATGATCAACCTTTTCTGATCGATTCCACAACGTTTCTTTCACAATGCAATCGCATGACCATAACTGGTCTTTACCTTTAAAAGCAAGCCCTGGAGCCTGGCCACAAGAGGCTTGACATACATCAGTTCATACTCATTCCTTGTTCCAATTTTACAACTTGAATTTTTGTTTGTGGATCACCCTGGCTATATCAGAAGACTGGATACAAAGGTTTCTTCTTACCTATCAGCTTTTTATGCTCTAATTGAGCCTGTCTGAGGTTCAGGTGCATAATATGGCCAACTCTGCTAAAGCCCGTGGGAACTTCTACACTGTCAGGTAACAATCGCTGAAGCACTTCATGGGGTTGCCAGTCCTTGTAAGTCAGCTCCAAGGTATACTCATGTAACCTCTCCTCCACATCATTCTCCTTCAGTACAGATTGCTGTCTCTCTGTCATTGCTTCTAAATCACACATGTTTTGTGGATCCAGGAGAAAGAACTTTTCATCAGGGTTGGTCAGAACTTCACGGATGACAGCGAAACGAGGTCGACTGAACGTGGCCATCTTGAACGCCTTGAGGACTTTATGAATGCATCGTTTGTTGACTTTCAAGGCAGGTATGGTTGCGGTTTTCTTGAATGCTTCTTTATCGATGGAATTTGAAGGCATAATGTCTGCTGGGGGTTGGAAAACATCATGAGTGAAGGAATGTATTGAAGCCATTGCTGCTAACCTTCCACTTCTTAACTGTTGTGACCACAATGTTGAGGGCAATACCTTGTTCAGCTCCTGTAGTATCACCCTTGAACGTGCAAAGATCATGGAATAACCTTGCCCAATCATCTGTCTACAACTCTACATCCAGAGAAGATATCAGCAAGCACCTATACATTGTAGATAAAGTATCGCAATGATTATTCATATAACTCAAATAACTTTAATAAAAATTGAAGAGACATTTTCTTAGTCATTAATGACAGGAAAGATTTGTATCATACAGGAGCGGTATACTTCATATTTGCAATAATCATATTTAGGATGCAATATGATTGAACATTTCCTTTACAGAAAATATAAATTTCTAACTTTTGTTTGTTTGTAGTATACCCAGACAACCAGAAGTATGTAATTTGTGATGCAAACATTGATTTCTTCAAGTTTTTCTTCTATCCAAGAACAATACAAGTCTGGAACCATCTACCAGGTTTAGCAGTCAACACAAAAGGAACAAGCTATTTCAAAGAGGCTGCTCTCACTATGAATATGACTGACAAAGAAAGCGGACAAAATATACAGTTCCTCAGGTAGACAAAGGAACATCCCTTCACTGCTATTATGTAAAAAGGTGAATATGCATGTGACACCTGTTCTACACATTTTTACATAATAGCAGTGAAGGGATGTTCATTTTGTCCGCTTTCAGTCATATTCATAGTGTCTACCCTCATTCTTCAGAATGATGCAGTCTTCAGTATGCTCTCACATAGTTCATGTTTAAGTAACGGCTTTATTTTTATTTAGCATCTAGACACACAACCATCTGTCATAAGTATTAAGTGAGACTGAGAGGGAACCTCGCAAGATATGTCACAGAGTTGTCATTCTGTGTTTGATTGAATGCAACTTCAAAGATTCATAACTTTCTTATTTTTGATCAAATTTCGCTTACACTTTCACTGACTTGTTCCACTCATTGTTTTGCTTCTTGTAATTAACAAAACTAAATATCAAGGCCAAGATGAACTTCCCCTTTTAAAAAAGAAGTAAAATGAACTCCAAGGAGCTAGGAGTAGATCTACTAGGAGTAGATCTAGGAGTCCAACCAAGCTCACAGATTTTTTTTTGTCAAATAAATAATGAGCAAATTATTATTAAATTAAATCATCTTTGCATTGATTTATCTAGTGCAGCACGTAATTCGTGACAAGGTATTGCTTTGCTGGAGTGGTTTAATCCATATGTTTTAGCATTGACCACTATGTCATACATGCCAACATTTGAAAATCAGAAATCTGTACAAATGCTATTTTTTTTAAAAAGAGGAACAATCCTAACTCTCCTATTCAATACTGTACAGACAAATTTGTACAGGAAGAGGAACACCTGCATTATAATGATAATTATCTTCTCACAAAAAGAGGAATGTTCCTCTTTAATCTATGTAATGCGGGTGTCATTTTGAGTTTTAACCGGGTCGATTGGCGTCCATGCATGGACATAATTTTGCTACACAGGGAGCTATAGGTGGGACTACATAGTAATCCGCTATTATTAACGAGCCTTCAGTAACATATAAGCATTGAAGTATAAACAGTATGGGGAAAAGAAAACGTTACTCCACATGAGAACTCACTTATAATGTCACTTTCACCTTTGTGGTCCTTTGAGGAGCGAATATTATCCCGTCTGAACTCGAGCTTTGTTGGAGGTCGACATCGACGACAGCATGCTATCAACGGTATGGTACGCCAGAGGTGCGGCGCTCAGCTAGCTGGCTAGCTCGCTCGGCGCGCACCGGAGCCTTGCCACTGCTCTCTACGGATTTTTCCGTAGAGATCAGTGAGCCTTGCCCATGACCCACCATACAAGATTCCGTGGGAGCTGAGGCCAGGCCAGCGTTTTTCAACTCGGGGTGCCGCGAGAAAAATTGAGTTATTACTTATCAACAAAAGTTTTTTGTAATATCGTTCATTTCTTGAAGTGTCTTTTTTTTCCTCACTCGCAATATTTAGAAATAAGATAAGTGCCTGATTACCTGCAAATTAGGACAACGAGGCGCCAGAATACTTCAATTTGATAGTGAGGTGCCCGAATACCCGGCCCCCCCCCCCCACTCAGTGTTATTTAGGGTACGCATATGCTCGTACCCTCTTTTTAAAAGCACCCCCTATCTGAGGACTGCCAACATTTCCAAACCCCCCTTTCGCGGGCTTTTCGCGGGCTTTTCCTGCCTTGGAGACCCCCCTAAATCAGGAAAAATGCTCAATGTACCCCCCTAAATTCGGAATAATTTCTCAGGAGTCCAAAGAGATGTGAGAAAAAAAAGAAAAACACCCCCTTTTTAAAGAAATCTCAGGGTGGAAAGTCAAATACACCCCTTTTTTTACAATTCTCGGGCCGGACTTTGTCGCACGAAAAATACCCCTTTACCGGACATTTTGGCAACACGCATGCGGTCATTCCGACCTTTGAGTGGGGGGGGGGGGGGGGGGGGCCGGGCCCGAATATATATATATTATTTTTAATAAAGTAATTCACTAATAATATTGGTCAATTTGTTATGAAAAAATATGAAAAAATCCATGGTATAAGAAACTCCCCTGGGACAAAAATCATTAGCTCATTAGTAGCTTATGCACGCTGTATTTAAAAGTCTGTTTATAAGATAATTTTGTTTATATGAAAATTGAAAAGATAATTTTGTGTAACAAATTTAAGTAAATTGTGAGCCAATATACTTCAGACTAGGCAATGAGCACGTGTAGTGAATTTGCAACTATAAACATGGTAAATTACATAATGTCATTCACTGAGGAATTATGTAATTACACTTTATGTTACTTCTTTTCATGAACATACAATATTCCCCTCTTAGTGACTTCGATAGAAGGTAGATTAAAAGATAAAGAGAGAAAAGGGGAGGGTGGGAGAGAGAGAGAGAGAGGGAGAGAGAGAGGGAGAGAGAGAAAGAGAGAGAGAGAGAGAGAGAGAGAGAGAGAGAGAGAGAGAGAGAGAGCATAAGGGTGTAGAAGGTAGAGAGAGACAGTGTAGGACCCCGTGTAGGACTCGAGGGAGAGACAGACAGCCGGACAGACAGACCAGAAAACTTACACCTTTTCAACCTGTTCAACGCGACGATGAAATATGCGCTGTGTATCTAATGAAAAGGCACTTGATAAAAATGCATCTCTATGTTTATGTTACTTTTTAAAAAAGTTGGCTGTGATAAAATTATGGATGTAAATTAGAAATAATTATTGTTTTTTGTTTTTAGTTTTTTGGGTGGGGGTAGTGAGCACATTTTTTTATTTTATTTGGTCAGCGAAAATTTAAAAATTTGCACCCCCCAATAAGGTGAAAATCACGTGTTTTTACCCTTTTTTCCCCAGGGGGGGGGGGGGGAGCTGGGCCCCCTGGATCCGCCACTGGCAGTCCCTCCGTTCCCGGAGTGTGGGGGGGGGGGGGGGTGGGCCGCGTTATTTTCTTCTGCGGCACAGATAAGAGCTTTTTTTTTAAAAGAGGTCTTGATTTAACCCTGACCCTAACCCTAAACTTTCCCATAGGCTCAACACGCACCTAACCCCAATCTATGCCGCAGAAAAAAATAACGCGGCCGGGCCCATGATTCCCTTTATCTTCTGTTAATTAAGAGCTGATTTGATGAAACAATCACCTCATCAGCAGGGGCGGTTATTTCTTTTCATGACTGGGGGGGGGGGGGGGGACAAAACGCGAGGAACGAGGGGAAAGTGACGTCATGAGCTAAAACGTTTTTTTTTTTTTTTTTTTTTTGGAGGGGGGGGGGGGGAGAAAAAAAATCCGAATCATCACCGCTCTTACATGACTGTTATAGCAGGCCCCGCGGAACGTTTTTCGAAGTGGGAGGGGGGGGGGGGGGGGGGGCTAAAGTATTTATGATCAGAAAGGGCAAAGCAAGTGGAGCGTAAATCGGCGTGGGGTCCTGGGGCAAAGCCCCGGCGGGGATAAGGTTTTTTAGGCATTTAATAAGGGACAGATGAGCATATTTTGATACCTTATTTGTGACACTTGAATGCAGGTCACAAATCGGAGTGGGGTCCAAGGGGGCGAAGCCCCCAGAAGCTCAGTGCTTTTAGGCATTAAATTACGATCTGGGTTTTAGGCCTTTGAACATGGTTAGATGAACTTCCAGTGGCCCGCTTAGGGCCCTGGTGGGGTACAGGGGGCGGAGCCCACGGAAGCTCAGGTGATTTAGGCATTTAATTATGGTTAGCTGAGCAACCAGGGGGCCTTAGGGCCCTTGGTGGGGCTAACAGGGCAAAGCCCCCGGAAGCTCAGAGAAAATCATGCCATTTCAGCAACATTTGTAAATTAGTCACTGGTATCGAATTAGAAATAAACCACGTTTGAATTTTATCGGGGGGGGGGGGTACTGCCCCAAGCCCGAGTGAGTGAGCATAGTGAACGAGAGGGGTGAAGGTGATGAAAGTGACTACTCCCTCACAGGTTTTGTTCTATTACAAAATTATATTCCTTAGAAAAACTTTAGTATGAAAAGAAACAATATACATTTTTCACACTTTAATTTCTACAATACTTACTTGAACATTTTAAAGGATATTATGCGAGAGAGCATAGCTCCCGAGCCAGAAGATTTTTACATGTATGTCTAAACGCTTAATTTTTAAGTCTAAACGCTGCACTCTTGGACTCTTCAAAGCCTAATAGTGTGTTGCAGTCTTTAGTCAGTATTTGCTGTACATTATTTGTTTGCACTTTTTCAAATTTTCCGGGGGGGGGGACGAGCCCCCCTACAAAAGTCGAGGGGGGGGGGACGTGTCCCCCCCCCCCCCGTCCCCCCGGGATCGCCGCCCCTGTCTGTCAGTGACCTTGCAGGAAGGTCTTATCCCCCTGGCCAAATTAGTGCAGACGGGCTTTAAGGTTTTAAACTAACAATAATTTACCCAAAGTCAAAGAAAATGTTAAGGCGCATATATATCACATTATGTTACCTTGTATTTCTTTACATGCTGTATAATATACGTAAATCCCATGCAATTTCGCTGTTGAGCTGCCATGTGGTTTTTAATAAACAACTTTTCAATTCCAAGCACTTTGTGTACGTCACCGACAGGCGATATTTCAATTACCAATTAGGATAGAATCATCGATCGATCACATATTGCGGGTGAATGCAGGAGTTTGATTCTATTATCAAAGCTCACTGAACTGTTGTATGCGACATTAAATCGTTCACACAGAAGTCCAATGTGGGGTCATGATAAACGGAATTGGTTGTTGCGATGACGACGCGTGTGGGCAAAGATTCTTTTATTTGTATTCAGGTTGTATAGGGTGTGACAAAAACACGATTTTTTTCGGGGGGGGGGGGGGGAGGGGAGGTGGAGTACAATGTGACAGGATCATCGACAGCTCTTTCATGTTAAACGGAAAGTCCCCTCTGTCATCAGGCTTAAATAAAAGACAAATTGCGTTTGATTTTATACTTGTTGGCGCTTTTTTTGTTGCCATTATGTTTTCAGGGGCAAAAAAGATGACAATTAAGGACCATCAATTTGGTTCCTTTGTCGCGATAAACGTGAGATCCCTTTCACAAGGACAACGCGACTGATAGAGCAATGTGGTCAAATGAGCCTCTTCTTAATAGTTAATACCGTCATACTTTCACTCTTGAAGTTTACATCGATCTCCCATTATCATACAAAAGATTGTACGAGGTTCGAAAATACCCATTAACACTTTTGATAGATTATAATTCCAAATAACAACTAGATAAAATTGAACTTTGCACAATATCCATTTGAAGAGTGTGGGTCGGTTTGTTGTAAGTTTACGGCATTAATTTGAAACGTAAAAAGAATTCATAATTATGATAATGCATGATTTATTCCATTAGATCTGGACCTTTTTAATACTCAAGGCCAGGAAATCTGAGAATAAAATAATGAGTAAATTCAATCCCCAAGAGTGTCCGTTAGGCCTGTGATACCACAATAACGTATTCAATTTAAAATGTATTACACTATCATGAGTTATTCTTATGACTATGATAAGCATGAATTGTGATATATAGTTTATGCATAATTATGATTATAATTCTTGTTTATTCTGAATCAGTGCCTTTATTTTTCAAAAAGTGCACATTCAATTAAGATCAATTAAAACCAAATTATACGAAAATGATTTGAATTTAACGAGCGCCATGCATTATATTTTAAACAAATTATAATAGTCTTCAACTTTAATACAACGTGCAAAGTTCACAATTATCATGTCAATGCTACGTGTGACCTTTGAGTTACGAATCATTATCCACATGATCTATGCGAAATGTAATTTTTATCATTCGTGATGTTATTCTATCAGATCGTACTTTTTTACGCGTTCGCAAAGTATTGCTGACAATATTTTTTTATGGCACACTGTATTCATAACAATATCATTTTGTTTTCGTGCACCCGATATTCGGGCATTATGATTACCCCACAGAATGCTGCAATAGTCAGGTGCTAATCAGCAAGCGAATACGAAGCTTGGCCGCTATCTATTATTTAGTTGAGTGTACCGCGTACGTATAGATCAAGAGCAAGATGATCGCCTTGTGAAGACGACTTCCAATCGATCAATAAGCGAGGAACCTTGGGCCGTGAAACCTCAACTACTAGATGTTTACCTAGCTATCTCTTCTTTAATTAAATGATATACTCTGTATGATTGCATGGGGATAACACACGTAAAGCACATACGGTCAACAGACGAGAATAAGTGTAATTCACTAAACTTGGCCCCTTTGGTGTGATTTCTCTACCAATGATTGGAACGTCTTTACGGGAGCACTGTTTACAATGATAACATAATCATACTGGATCTGTAATAGTTTGAACATCGACTGACAAGAGCATTAAGGTATGTATGATTATGACTCAATTATATAGCACTTATTTGAATATTACTCTACAGTAAAGTACATAAAGAAATATATTATTTAAAGTGTGTTTAGCCTTTTAATCTCTTTATAATGTCTGATTTTGAATACTTGCTCATAGCAATGATGCCTTAGGGGAATATCCGTGTAATCAGAAGAAATAAAATATTATGAAGAAATATATTTTACCTACTTCACGAACAAAAATTTAATCTCTAGATATGTTGGTCTATCATTTTGGAATCTATCAGTAATCCCTGTAAGATTTTGTAACAGCTTCAGTTATGATGAAAATATCGAAATGATTCCGGTTCATATCTTCCATAATTTATAACGACCGGCATTACTGGCTAAACTTTGAGCTTTCACAATTTCATTTTTGAATTTACTGAAATTCAATTGTTTCTGTAATGTTGTTAATTCCAGGTGGAAATGTCACTCATCCTTTTTCAATGTGAGAGATAAACTAGCTGACGTAAAGATATATTCTAAATTGACTGCATAAAGTTATGGACAGTGAACACGAATGGACACTGATGATCTTGAGGAACAACTACCATCCATTTGCATTATGTAATTACATTGAAACACATGAATCCCCCAAAGAGATTTCCGAACTTTTTGTGTAGGATTGAGTGAAAGAATCCAACTATGAAGCGAAACAGTCTGAGCAGTGACAAAGTTGAGCTTCTTCGGAATATCTCATTCAGTCACCGAATTGATCCTGCAGTCGAGCTACCAAACCAGATACCTGTTACTTCAGAGATTACCAAGTCCTCTGCGATATGCAACGCGACAGTGAAATGGAAGTCTCGATTATCAACAAATCAGGCTCCAGACAGCAACCTCCTCCTGGATGCAGCGTCATCTCCTACCAAACGAGCAGGAGCATCGAATCATCAGGATCCAAGAGAGAAGAATCCGGAGGTAGTCATCACCGCGGTCGGCTCTCAGTCCAATGTCCATGCTGATGACGGTGGGCTGATGATGAAAGATACCAAACCTCCCGATGCAGACAACCTCAGTCAGAATTCGGTCTGGACCAGGCAAGGATCCATTCAGGGTTCTAGACCAGACTCCAGACATGGGTCGAGACCTAGCTCCAGGAATTCGCTGGCCTCAGGTCGGGTGGCATCCGCACTCTTTGCCATGGGAACGGGGGCATCATTCACGGAGTTACCTAAAGGAGGGATGGGTACTGATGGTCAAACACAGGTGTCAAGAGTCAACTCTGTGGACAATCCTCTCCTTGCTGCTATCCCGTATCTACCAGTCAAACTAGCATGGATCTTTCTCTTATTCAACATTCTTGTGCCGGGTTTGGGTGAGCCAACTCACAATTAATTTCTCATTTTTTAAATATTTTTTGATTCCCTGTCCCCATAATTAATCGGCATACATTCACAAGTTTATGATATTTGATAGGCTACAGGGGTGGAAACAGGATTGTCAGAGGGGGAAGGTCCCCAAAATGTGATTTCAGAAATCTGGTGTGTCCTTCCAGATTCGCTCAGTATGGAGGGTATGAGTTGGGGTAAGATTTAACACAAAATATTACAGAGATCCTAGCCAATAAATTCCCTTGTGAAAAAAAGAAAAAAAAGAAGTCATTTAAAGCCCAGGGTCTAAAGTGTTAGGAGCTCCAAATTCGCCACAAAAACCAATGGCAAAATTTTACTTAAATTGTGTCATAATGTGAAAGAGGATGTCAGTATTTAAGACACACTTCTGCAATGATCCCCCCCAAAAAAAAAGTGTTTGAAGACAGAATATTGATACAAAAAATATATAATTTTGGTTTTCTGTTGTACGCAGAAAACCTAAATTGTGTATTCTTTCATCAATATTCGACTTCAAACATATTAGTTTTGAAAATCCTGTCAGAAATGTGTTTTAAAGGTACTATGTCCCTTTTGCAGCCAACCTCAAATGCTGTTACATTGCAGGAATTATGAATATATCATGTATGTCCTATCTGTGAAATTTAAACGTTAGCAGTGTCCTCATATTCAAATTATGCAAGGAAACCCGTTTACTTGCTAGACTTCACTGTCAGACACTATTGAGTGACTGACTGGCTTTTTTTTCTTCTTTGGTAATAACATACATGGAAAGAGTTGTAAAGGGTATACATGAGCATTTGTCTACATCATAGTTTGTATGACGTACCATTTTTAGCTTCATTATGCATGCATTTTGTACATGTTTGGATGGTGGGCATGTGCCTATACACTCATAGACTATACTCATGCCATCGGGAGCATGCAGTGAGCACTTAATATAATTGCATGACTAGAATTCATCGATTAATAACGATATGAAAGATTTATGAGCCAGACATAACTTTATTAAAAATTTATTACGCACGGAGTCGTAACAATTTGTGCTGCCCATGCGAGGTATTAATGAAATATCAGAGATCAAGGATTCATATCTGAATGATAATATTATGCGCTACTGCCAAGCAATATGATTGGGAGGAGGGGGGGGGGGGTCACTGCTTACCGTCCATTGGCATAGCCAAAAGGACAGGTCAGACGGACAGGTGGATGAGAGAGGTGTCGTAATCGAGTGTTTTAAGCACTTGACTTGAAATGCAAAGGTCGTGGGTTCGATCCCCGATCAGCAGTAATGTCATTTGGCAACATTAATTTACATTTGCCACTCCATACCCAGGGGTGAAATGGGGACCTGGTAGGATGACGAAAGCATTTGTGTTAGTAATTGCCATATGCCCTCACGGTGACCATTATGGTAGGAATACTCCCCATGGAATGGAGATGGTGCACATTGTGCGTGCATATATCCGATGAATTGTTGAAACTTGACCATACAAACAAAAAGTAATTATTTGACTTCCAGATAGCAAAATGATGGATTCAAGACCAAGAACAAATGTTAGTATCGTCGAAAAGAACAAAGGGTAGAATTCGTCGCTAAGATTTTGAAGTTCACCCCTCTATTCCCCTCTGAAAATATTTTCGTCTAATGAACATTCTTACTGTTAAATTTACATGAGAATATTAATGATTAATTTGTAATGCTTGTATTCTGGAGTTCTCCATGATTTTGTCGTAATACTAATATTTTTGATTTACTTCTGTATGATGATCATCGATAAAAAACAACATTTATTCTGATCAATAATATTATGTACACTATCTTTAACATAATATTTCATATAAGTAATTTATAAACAGGCCAGCATCATGTATAATTCAACTGTAATATGGGTTTGGACTAGAAGTCGTTTCGACCACGTGAATAGTCTGGTTGGCATGGCGATATCAAACAGCTTGCGGGGATACTGATATATTCTATTTGGTCAACATTGATTAGATTGGTGCTGAGATGTGTTTGTATGCAATGGCTTACGAACATGCACGCATCACACATCAGCCCTTGCCATGTGATTGTACCAATGGTGGTACCAATGATCAGCTAAAACCAACGCTTCACTATAATGTTTATGATCTCTAGGTATATGGGCGATAAAACTCAAACATAAAAAATCAGTATACTTTGATTTTAAAACTAATTAGTCGAATCTGAAGTCTACTTCTGATTACATTTTTTTGGGTAATAAATGTAATAACTTAACCCTTACTGTACTAGGGGGGGGGCTGGGAGGCCCCCCCCCCCTCGACATTTTCGGAGATCGCGCCGCAACCGCTCAGAATTTTGAATTGTCGTTTCATGACTTTTTTCCCTCAAGTCTTACGCACATTTTGATACCATTTTCGTCGAAATCGGATATACCTGTAAGGTGTTACATAACAATTAGTATGCGCATGTCATAAAAAAAGTGCTATAATTGCATATATTCATGTACAAGCAGAAATGTGAAGATATGAATTGATATCAAATTGCTTTTATATGTTTCTCAAAGTAACTTGATGTATTTCAGAACAAAAGAATACATTAGAAATAAAACAATAGATATAATAAGAAATAAAACAATAGATATAATAAGAAATAAAAACAATAAAATACATAAGAAAATAAATAGTTGAAAATCGCATCAAATTTGCATAAATTATCATTATTAATTACATCAACTAACTATTTTGTGTTAAAAAAGAAGTTTAATATGAATAATGAGTTTCAACATTAAAAAAGTGGAGTCTGACAATTTTTGTAATGATTCTAGTTCCCTATATATATTACCAGATTTGATATTCAAGAATGCGTATTCGTAATTTATGCAAATTAACCTATGCATTTTCAAATATCATAAAAATAATGAAACCTCATGAATTTGAGATGAAGGAAACATTTATTCAATACATTTGCAAGATTCTTCACAAGTCTACGGACAAATATGTGGAGTTTTCTGTAAAATGCATACAATTAGCATTTTGCATAATTAATTAGGCTATAACGACAAAAATTTGCATATTAGGAAAAAACTAATTATACCATCTTGTTCCTTACGTAAATATCTACAAACGTGCAAATTTTCGCGCTCATCGGACATTCGACGGCCAAGATCATAGGGGGGAGGCCCCCCCCCCCCCCCCCCCCAGTCAGAGAGTGCTCGAAATAGCCCAGTACAGTAAGGGTTAATAATGTAACATTGTGTTGTGATGTCCATTTATTATGCTGTATCATCATAATGACGTAACAAAATGCTTTACAAGACTGTACAATTCAGCCTTCAGCCGTTCAACGTAATTTTTATTGAGCACTTTAGATTGAAAAAAACCCACAAAGAATGCTAATTACAGCGCATGAGTTTCCAGTCTACAAGCTGCATACCTAAACAAGACTGTTTTTATTTACCTAACGGAATGACATAATTATAATTATAATTTGCTTTCTTGATCTTGATTGTGTACATACAGGTACAGTTCTGGCAGGTATTAGTATGTTATGCTGTGGGACTAGGCAAACGACTAACAAACAAGACGACGAGATGGGATTGTGCTGTACAAACATCTTCGTAGGCGTGTCACAACTCTTCACTGTAACCTTCCTTCTGGTTGGCTGGATATGGAGTATCACGTGGGGTGTCTACATGGTCGTCTTCGCACGTAAGCCTTATCTCTTTGCTTATTGTTTCCATCTTGATTAAAGTGCATACAGGTGCACATGAATTCCCATGCACATAATGATTTATGTACAACACGATAGCAAGTACTTTCAAAAGTAGTCTTGTCCATCATCTTAGAAACGTGCCAACATTATTACACGGACGTACGTATTACGTAATCTGAACATGATTTCTTTGGGTCACACAATAAAGTATTAACATTGCCCTTCAGCTTAATTTTAGAACGTAGTTGGGATTGTATTGTATAAACAAAATACTCATTTTACAACCTACCGCGAGGAATGGCCGATATTTCATGTATGCGTATATAGCTAAAATATAACGAAATTTTGTTTATATTTGTATGTAGTAATACAAAAATATCTTTGCATAATATCGTACCTGCTTTAATCTAGAGATAAGTGTACGTGTTGGAATATAATTTCGGTTTCAGTTTCAAATTCAACTTTAAACCACAAAAGCAAATCATAATAAACCACAAAAGCAAATCATAATAAACCATGATATATATATATATATATATATATATATATATATATATATATATATATAATTATAGTACACACAATGAAATACATAAGTTGGAATAAAACAGTCGCATACACAAATGTTATTGGTATTTTATTTATGCAAATAAGGTCATATCTGTAATTCCCTATTTAATACCTTAAACGTAGAGAGGATCCTTTATATAATCAGACAATATAAGTCTAGTTTCAAACGCTTTCCTGGGTGGAATCTTTACGGCAATCGGTTTATACCGAAAATAGAGTCATTTTAAAGAATCAGAATCTTTGTGTGTAATGTTGTTCATAAGATTATCCCTTATATTCGGCTATTGACTTGTACGTCGATTCTTGGCAGCCTGTTTGACACGATTGATTTCTTTCCACGATGGTCTAAGATGTGGATGACTGTCAATCATTAATGTAGCAAGGTTAAATAGATCTGAATTGTGAATAACTCGAGAGACATAGTGAATGATTCTACCAAGAGAGAATATATCTGACTGGATGCTGCTATACTCCCCATCTAAGATGTATTCAGGTGCTAGATGTTGGTAGACTACACCCAGTCTGTAGCCTTCCATCTCATGATCGGTCAGATTACGGTTTTTATGTGGCATTGTGACAGTGGTGACGTTACCCATATCAATGATGTAAGCCTTCCATCGGTCGTCTCTGCGGAGTAGGACATTGTTTGGTTTTATGTCATTGTGAAGGAGATCTCTCTCATGCATGGCATGGATTCCTTCGGTGATGTCCACAACGATGTTCAACCACTCTTGATCTGACAATGCAGGGTTCTTGGTCTTGATAGCCTTGCTTAGTGGGTAAACGGTTCTCGTGCCTTTGTCACCAAGGAACTCGACAACGAGTCCGGGACAGCTGGCATGCTTGGTGTAACCATGGCACTTTGGAAATGCTGGGTGTTCCCCCAAGAGTCGGTGGACTGCCACCTCCTTCACAGTCCTGGAATGATTCAAGGATATTACTCTCTTCACGTCTTCTTCGTTGGCTTTCTGGTCTTCGTGTATGCCTTGGACCTTCACAGCCACTGCCTCGGCTCCAAGACGCTTCATAAAGACCACTCCGAATGTACCCTTACCGATCGGATTGGTGTCCACGGTGTCCCAAGGTTCAAGTTGCGATTCCGCTATGGTCGGGATATCTTCTGAAGGTATCAATGTCATGATGGCTCTGTCAACCTCTGGCATATCGCTCGCTTCTAAGGATCCGTTGTTTGACAATGCACTCTGTTGAAACCTGAGAAAGTGATATGAGGAAATTAATCAATAAGAAGAAATAGAATCCCCACATGAAATTATTATATCTTTTGATTGATTTTGCTTTGGATTTATTCATTGGTATTTCAGTAACCAGGGTAAACTCGTTCGTCGCCATTTGGGGCACTGCTTGACGAAAGTTTCCTGAAAGTATTGACCACTGAAATAAAAAAACCCATATACAGTACAATTTATAAAATTATTCTAAAATGCATCCATTGCAACATTTCCAGACAACCTTCACCATGCATACTGATGAAAACTATCCTTAAAATTCTCTTTTCACATTTTGTAATATCATCTTGTCCCCTGACAAAAAAAACGTATTTCGGTAGAGTTAAAGAGACATACATGCCTTAATTTAAGACGAAGATGACTTGTGTATGCTCACATTGATATGTTATACCGTAGCTTGGTGATCATAAGATCTTGTGTTTTTATCTTAAATCTGAGTGCTTCAGTTGTACAGTCGGACCCTTCTTTCTTTGGTGCTCTGCATGGGGAAGAGAAAGAGAAAAAATGGCGTAAGAACTAAAAACAATAATGAAATACGCCCAACTTAAAGAAAATAATGACACAATAATGAACATAGGTTAGAAGATTGTTTTTTAAACATCGGGGGGGGGGGGCGGGGCGGGGCGGGGCGGGGCGGGGCGGGGTAAGGTCTTGAAAATTACTACATTAATCTGTATAGTTTATGATATTTCAAATCATCTTTCAACATCATTGAGTAATATATCACATCGTACACGATCATTAACGTTGGAAATTCTATTCTGTATGGGCGAAAAGGTGTTCATATCCTGCTTCCTGTTGTTAAAGACCGATAAAATAATTCATTTAGAATTCTATCAATTTATTATCAAAATAAATGAGATAAGGGGGTTTACTGATTTAGGTATTCATTGTTATTAAAGTACTTTAAACGATAAACACGTATCTGCACAGAAACTTTGGCTTGATAATTATGAGGATGATAACTTCGAACAAAAAATGTATACCAGTGATATCACTGTTTTACTATTATTCTATAGGTAGATCGTGCAACAAGAATCTATTATTGATTTTTGTAGGTAGTGAAGCTGCATACATCATTCGTCACTATAATGATGTAAACGTTTATGGACTTACCTTAACTCCGTGGACAAGGATGCTGTCGCTCTATCGGAAGTCTGTGAAAGAAAACGTGATACGTTACGTAAACATTATAACTAGCGTTGCTTTTGAAAACAACATCATTCATCTGATGTTCTCATATATCCGTTCAGCTGTCTTTTTGCAATGTTGTATATGGTTAATCTATCTCTAAACAATTTTCTAACTATAACTTAACTATATCAAAAGATGCGGATGAGGTGCGCGAGCGTAATGGGGAAAAAACTTGGGTCTGTAAAACTTACCACTGACAATTTCGAGTTCATCACATCCTTGACCTGTTCTAGTTTGCAACATCGCTCTTTCATTTCCTCGTATGATCTCACTATCATTCCGATGTCCATCTCGTGATCGACTGAAGTGATTAGTCCAGTGGAAAGCCCAGCTGCCGTTAAAATCTGACGGAAATTCTACAAGAAAAGGAACATTTAGAATAGTTTTCGAATATAAAGTGTCCACAAAATGTATATTAGTAAAAGTACTCAATAATATTATGGTCTAATAGGCATTTTCTGATCCGACTGATACATACACTCGATTATTTTTAATAATCATATTTTGAGAAATGGATTTCGTACCTTTTTACCATTAAATTTCGATTTGAAGCAACTTAACAGAACACATTGATCAGATGTGATTACATTTTAATAATCGATAGTAGTATTGCTTGCTTAAAATCTCTTTTTTCGGCTTGCTTTAATTGAAAAACTGTGTTGACTACCTTGAATTGCAGTACATGTTTGTATTTTCTATGTTCCGTTTCTGTTGAATCACAATAGGGAGAAAATAAAAAAGAGGGAAGAAACAAATAAACAAACAGAAAAAAACTTAACAAATACTTATGTAAGATTTACCTTTAGTTCATTCGATAGTCTTTCATTTTCGTGATGAGTGTCTTTGCAGTGTTCCTGAAATGAGTTCAATTCTTCGTTCCTTTCGTTGAGTTCTCCTTCCATTCTCTGTAATGCGAGATTCAATTAAGTGCTTTTCTTTATATTTTTCAGTCTGACAGTAGCATAATATACGCTGTTTAGCATCTTGAATAAGCAATACAATACTTTGTGGTTTGTTTATTGACATGATCGACTTTATGCCTTGATGCAACTTTGATAAATCTTATACTTCTACAAAATAACATAATAGCATAGCAAAATTTTAATATAGATATCACGTTGAAATAAAATAATTCTACCTACCAGGCACTCCTGCTGTGCTGAATCTGTCTGGATTATCAATTCTTCGTTTTTCTTTAGAGCTATTCCCGCATTTCTCTTTATATCTTCTAATTCATCGTTCAATAGCCGTTGGTCGGTCTCAAATTTCTGAAAATTATGCATAATGTATGAATATACATCCTGTAATTGAGTTTGGCCGTAGTTTAAATTATTAGGCAGTTCTGGTTATAATCAAGAATACTGTGACATTACGACCCTGAATGAATGTAATACAATAAATGATAATTATAGAGGTGTTTATGTAATTAATTTTAATCAAATAACGTTTAAGTTTGATGAGAATAAAATTGTTGCCATGCATCTCGGAAAAGCTTTGAACAACCGACCGTGACTGCACAATAACAGTTTATTAAGTTTTATAATCTTATACATAACGAAGTGTGCTCAACAATTCATTTTGAATATTACTATAAATATTTTTTTGGTTTGTTATGGCCTACCTTTAGTTTAAAGCAGAGACCAGTGTTTTCCTGTTCCATTGCAAAATACTTCCTTTCATACTCTTGTAGAATCTTTATTGTTTCAGTCAGTTTATCAGACGTAATCTTCGGAATCAAATAGAACGAAACACGCTTAGTGTATTATACCAAAGTCCTCAGAACATATACCGATTCTGAAATAAAAATTGTTCTAATGAGAGAGCTAATGGTTAACAAGAACGAATGAAGAAACGATTGCAATCATTTCCATGCAGGTTGTCGGTGAGTCACGGGGAAGAGATAGATGTGCCGATGTGCGATACAACTTTAATGGGATATGTTATTATGTTTGAGCCTTTATACTATCATAATATGATTCAATGTG